CAAACGTTTAATGGGGGACCCCTTCAGCAGTATTGAATTTACGATGAAATGCTATTCAAATTTTTAACGACTGACGCTTTTTAATAGCATTAAAGTTACGGACAAATGCAATTTGAACGTTTAACGACTAACGATTTTTAACAGCATCGAAGTTACGGTGGAATGCTACTTAAATGTTTAATCACCGACGCTTTTAACAGTAACGAGGTACTGTTAAGCAGGGTCAATCGTACATGTTTTAAGTAGTTTTTCTAAGGGTGCTCTATGTATAAGAAGAAATAATATTAATATACGATATTGAAATTAAATAAGCAGTTTCAGTATTCATTACTGATGGAAGACCAAATTATGATAAATTTGCATGATATTTTTTTAGTTTTCATGCCTTCAAACAGATTCAAGATTGTGCTTTAGTACTTGAGAACGAAAAATAAACAAAAAGATATTTCAACCCGGCAAATATTGAGGTCGTCAAACCAACTCGATTTATTTAATCAAACGCTGAGGCGCCATTGAAAATTTTGACTACGTTAATTTGTGTGGTCCCCCTTTCTCTTGGTGCCCTAAGCACGTGCCTATTTTGCATACCGGGTAAACCAACCCTGCCTGTATGGTGGATCTATGGGACCTCTCTGGTGAACCCCGGTACCTCATAGATGTACCTACGGGACCTCCTATAGTTTTGAGGTGGCATTTTGCACCTGGCCTTAAATTTATGATTTTAGTTGTGTGAGTGAATCCAATACAATATAGCATACAACATAAATTATGAGCTTTAACCTTTAAATCCCTATATATATTTCAAGATTTTAAATAAGTATTAATATGAAGTTCCAACTCTTCAATAAAGTTTGGATAATACTCATCGTGGTTGCTCAGTTTCCATGTGAAAGCCTAGGTGAGTATTTCATTGAGTTATGTTTCCATGCTGCTCCTTCTCATTTATACACTCTGTTACCATTTCCACTTTTTAAAACAGCTAGCACTATACTTGTCGAGGACTCTGAGTATATACTGCGTATTGAAGACGTAGAGAACAATCTAGACACAAGTCCAGCTTCTTTCATTCCAACAACAATACCAGACCTTTTGAAGGACTTTGCATGTGTGCTAATCGAAGGTAAGCGTTTTATGTTGAAAGATACTGAATAATTTCGAAAAAAGACAATATCTATTGAAATATGTTTTTTCTATATAAACGTAAAGTTTCGAAATAATTGCACACTGTGGTGGTTAAGGAAATCTTTTTGTAGTAAAAGTGGAGAAAAAAATGTATATTAGACCGAAATAGTTTGTGGAATTTAATTATTGCTTTCAGGGAGACAAGCCTGCTCAGAAAATTGTCAACAAGGCAAATTCGTTGACAGAGAAGGTTGTTGTGTTTGCGTTTGTAGAAAAAACTTTGTGAAAGTAAACGAAAGATTTTGTGAAACAGGTTGGGAATTTATCATTTTCATTGAGTAGGCAACCCACACACCCTTTTATTGCGCTTTATAAAAACATTTTTCAGTAAAAAAAGTTTTAGTTTATTGTCTTTAGCTTTGTGAAATCAACGCTACGATAAGTTTACCAATGATATTAAATGTATCGAACATGTACCTTGGTATGCAGAAATCACCAATGTTAACCAAATAAAGTGAAACTGAATGATGTCAATTCAAAGCGTATCGTTGTAGAATCAGAATTAGTCTCGTGTTGCTTAATAATGTGTAAATTCCGAATGATATTACGTTCATGTTCCCGCTAAACTCTGAAAATTCTAACAAATTCCACAGTTTCGTGGTCAGGTTGGAGTTCCTGGAGTAAATGCATAACTAGCCAATGGGGAGGCCTACAAACAAGGGAACGTATTTGCAGATCAAGTTCACAAGAAGCGCCAGGTTCATGCGTAGGCATTGGAAGTAATTCTAGGACATGTTCGCCGGTAACTGGAGGTAATAATACAGACACACAAATTTTGAGTAAAAGTATTTTAGTAAATTACACCTCTAACGTATTACATTTTTTGTATTCAATCCAAACTGTTCTTTTCTTAGATTTCCGTATTCGGAAAAATGTTCGGGATTTGACAGATGAGGAAATTCATGATTTAATTCAGGGTATGACAAGCTTTAAAGAGGATAGCTCAAGAAGAGGATTTAGAGTGAGTACTTACTTGTTGACGAGAATGATAAAGACGTTCAAAGGGGAAAAATTAGGTCTTAGTTAATCCGAATCTGTGCAATTTATTGTCAATGATGAAAAACGTACGAACCACTTTAAAACAAATATAATTAGTTATTTATAACAGATCCTAAAATAAGTTGTATAGATATCGTGAACTCAATTTACACGAGTTCTGCAACTATTATTTCAAGTATTGTATAATCATTAGGAGTTTTATAAAGCTAATCCTTCATTCATGTAGATATCTTTTGCAAGGTGTGTTCTATGTCACAAACAAAAGCATGTATTTCGAATCAGTTATGATTCATTCGGGATTTTATCTTTCAAATCTTTAAAAATTCAAGGCGACCGAGAAGAGTAATGACTATTGTGCAAAATGAAAGAAACCTTTCTCAATTCTTAGCTTTAGTTTATATTGGATTTTATTCTGATATAAAACCATTTGTTTATGTAGAGCATCGTTTCGTGGCATGGTTGGCCAGGTGAATGTCCATGGTATCGTCGTGTACACCAACACAGTGACGGTCATTGTAGTTGGCATCATCACCCGCTGTTCTTACCTTGGCATCGATTGATAACTGTTCAGCTTGAGTTAGGTGAGACTGGGACTCCTTTCTGTTTGACAGTACAGTTAAACATATTCAATTTTTTTCGCAATTAATTTTTCTTTTAATATCAAGGTCTCTCTCGTCATTTGAAAAACAAAACTTTGGGGATTCCATTCTGGGACTGGACTGAGCATGCTGAAAATATTCCCTTTCTTCTCCAGAATGAGACTATTTACGATCCAATATTAAAAAAGAAAGTTCACAATCCCTTCTACAGAACATATATTAGAAATTTTCGCGGAATAAGACTGTGAGTATCTTAGAACGCATACGGGTCGGTGGTAGGCACATTATGGTAAAAATAATGATGTGAAAATTTAACGTTTTTCAGATACAGTCAAAGAAATCCATGGTACCCCGGATTATTGATGAATAAATATATCATTAAAGGAATGGTTCGGGCACTGCTCTGTCATAATTATGAACATTTCGATCGTCAAGAAGCAACAATACCTCATGACCAAGTAAATATGTTAAAAACTGTTGTGAGGTGAAAGATTTTTCATATTTGAGTTTGTCTAACTAAGAACTGAATGTGTATCTGAAAAACATGTTTACATGTGATTTGCATAGCCAGAAACATTTTTGGATTTTATATCGAGGCTAAGTGATAGATGAACCGTCGTTGGGGCCCCTGTTATTAGACATGAAATTGATCTATGTTGTTATTATGTTGGTATTGTTGGCAGTGGTGGTGATATTCTTTTTCTCGTTGCTTTGTTGTTGTGTAAAATTCCTTTTCTCTTTAAATAATGAACCAATAGCTTTTCCACGGTTGAAGATTGCTTTTACCGCTAAAAGGCTACCTTTTGTATTTATTGAAATTCTGTGGGCTCTATCTCCATGAGATTCGCTTTTTGTGTGTGTGATGACGTCATAAAATAAAAATGTGCGTCCCTTGTGGCGGTTCCGCGTTCGGTTTCATTACGATTTGGTGGTCAGAAGTCGCGAGGACTACGCTTCTACACCGGCAATGTGAAAGTTTAGACATCGGTACCACTTCATTCGCTTTCGCACTTCACTATTGTTCCAAAAGTGTGGCAACTAAAAACGAGACGTTAACTCAACTTTCTTATCCACAATTTTCCACTTTGATTGTTTCAGATTCATGACTGCTTTTGCATCGAAGGTGGCACTATAGAAGGCGAGCAACGGTGCAGGTTTGGAATGCCCACCGTTGACTACGCTGCATGGGATCCGGCATTCATGTTACATCATAGTGCGATCGACAGAATGTTTGTAATGAGACGTAAGATTGAAGAGGAAGAAGGAATGTCTGATTGGACAAAAAGCAGAGTAATTGGACAATATTTGGAGGTTGGTGGATTGAAAGATATCTTAATAAAAGAGTCTGAAGTATGCTCTACTATGAACGAGGACTAAGATAATTTTTATATGCAGAATTGAAACATTGTTCTTGTTTTTAATACTTGGGCTTCTGAAAGAAAACGTCCACAAATGATTATAACGAACTTTATCAATGTAATAAATAATTTATCAAACTTTATCTATGAATAGGCTTAGCCTTTAAAATTGTAATATATATTCACAAGTCCTATATGTTATGCTTCAACAACTTTAATACAGTAAATAACGCAATATTAATAAGCCAGTTAAAGAGCGGAAAAGAATTTTCTAACATTCCACGTGCAAAGTCGAAAGTTGTCGTGATTACTAATCTATTTTCTATGCCCGATCTACCATTTCTCAAACTTGAAAAAGATTGCTAGAAAGCTTCATTATATACGAGTAAAATATTTTGATTTCCTCTTGCAGCGTGAAACAAGACACAATAATTTTGAAAATTCCTTCGACTTTCCATTGTCGCCATTTTGCAACGAGAGCTTGAACCCTGAGTCAGTGACCCTGAACGAAGGAGCCTGGACTCTACGTAACAGTTATTACGGAGAGCAATTATTTGGATACAAATACACTGATTACAATATGGGTTCGAACTACACTTGGAAAGATTTGAAAGAAGACTATCGGAAAAATACGAAAGACGGAAACTTTTGGAACGATGAGTTTTTTGACACAAAACTGGGGCCTTTGACTAGAAGTAACTCATTGCTATTAACGAGAACTGAAGGTTGCGTCATGGAATTTTCTAATCCAGTTTAAAACTACAGTTACAGTTAAAACCTGGTCATGTAGCATTGATGGAAATGCTGGAATTGCATCAATAAGTAAATTATGTTTGTATCGTTTGTTTGAGTTCAATCTCACAAGGAGAGTTTTCAACAAATTAACTAACACAAAACCACACAAAAACAAATTTAACAAATATATATAATTCAACACTTTCAGTCGTATTCAAACATGTGAATATATATATATATTTAATCTAACCAACTTTCGTGTTGGCTGAAAACAAAACTGACAGACCTAGGGTGCAAATTCTTTATTTTATCGGTCGGAGCGTAAACTATCAGTCTATATATCAGTCAAAAAGAAGTTATTATTTGGAAATTAAACAGCACAGTGTTAATACGGCCTTTTCATTGGCCTTGATCTAGTAAAATCAAGCAGCACAATAGGCGAATCCAGCGGATGACATTCAAGTTATTGAACACCAATTCCATGCCAATTATAGATAATTTAAACATCACGAATCGCTACAGAAATAGTACTTGGACTATGTTTAGCAACACGACTCGTTCAAGACTGTTTCTAATCATTGAATTCCATACTTCTTCTTGAGTCGTTCAAATTTTTTCCGACCGTGATTGTAAACTTCATATTCATCTAACAAGAGAGAATTCTTTAACTTGTCAATCGAAGCTTCAGTCAAAATCTCCCTCCTTTTGGTTGTTGTTCTCTTCTGCCATAATTTGCTTTTTTGTTCCCATATTTTGAATGCGCTTCTGAAATAGCTGGGAAGCATTGTTTCAAATAGCTTCAAAGTATCCTCAAATTCTTCTGTTAATCCAATTGCTAAGTATTTTTCATCAATGTGCTTTTTAGCTAATTCAACTCTACCACGTGATTCATGTAAGCAGATATCCTCGAATCCACAAAAATATAGACCAGTGTAAAACATGAACATCGTATTATTACATAGCGAAATGTTCTGCATGACACAATCGTTTATATCTGGTAAGTCATGTTCCGGATGCGAAACTTTGCCAATAGCATCACCGTATTTCATGTAATTGTACTGAGATGAGAATCGTTGTATTGGGTCGCGTATCATATTAATATAAATTGGCTGCTCAATACCATGTTTTTCAAAGTCAATAAAATGAATATGTCGGTTATAAAATGACGGCGGTTTAAGATGAGCAATTTTCTTCATTTCAGTTTCCACCTCCGTACTATTCGGATGATCATTGGCATAATCATTTGAGTGGGATTCATTGAATTTATTCAAAATCTTCAAAACTCGAACCAAGTTAATCAATGATCTACTTCCACACTTACCCACTCGATTATAGAATACGTTTTTTATTTTGTCCACCGGTAATTCTGGTGTGGCGTCGTTACCGGCTATACTCGTTCTAGTTGTTGTGGGTGTTACAGTGCTGACAGCTGTAGCGGTAATTGCTTCATTGGTAGTATTTTGAGTGGAAGAGAAATATTGGTCCAAGGTCGTTAGATTTTTACTATGTCGATAGTCAATTGAAAGGAATGAATTGTGTGCGGTCCAGTATACGAAACTAACTAAAAATAAGGAAACAGAAATGACCAAAATGGCGCTGTATCTAACAACTGGCTTCATGATTTCTAGATAATATTTAATAACAAAAACAATATTCAAATTAAGTGGCCCTTCAAAGGCTGAACTGCAGGAAATATTTTCGGGTGGTGATGAATGTTTCCTCGAGCATCGTCCTGATTTACCCTCATTAACATCGGCTGATCAGATGTTAACGGTGACATAACAAATGAAATTTCAGCAGCCGCTCAGACAGATTTTCTGGCGTGATATTCGTCAGTTTTAGGTATAAATTGGATACCTCAATATTAATTTTGTATTTCGACGGACATAGTTCAGTGATCAAAAGTTAGTCCAGAGAAAGCTAGGATAGACTAGGCCAGGGGTTCTCAAACTTTTTGTGTTGCGGAGCCCTTGAAAAAGTTGACTATTATTCACGGAGCCCCAAAATAAATGTTAAAATTGTTACTTTCCGAATAATATTCCTGAGTAAGTCAAAAGTACTGTACTTATTTTAAATGCTTAACCTCTTTTAATAGGGTTAATACAAGTCATAAATGAATCTAAATGTAAAAGATGAATTATATATACTAAAGCTGTAAACTTGATACTTGACAAACATATTAATAAATTAGGGGTCAGATCTTTTACCTTTAGATATTTTTGAAAGACTTAAAAGGCCGCTAATAACGTACTCGATTGCATTTTGTTACGATCGCCGATTGTTTTCGTCAGCATGGCGGTGTTTATTCTCCCTAAATCAAAAATTTTCCTCGACATATACATGTATGATGTATTGTTCCACAATGACGACGAGTATTGCTTTTTTGTTCTCGTGGGGAATTATGAGTTCAATGTGAAAAACATGTTACCATATTATAGTCACCGGAGACGAAATGCTAAAAATAATAAATAATAAAAGGTAAATCCGCAACTCAAATTTCTTGATTGAAAAGCGGCATACTGAAATATTAAAACTAAAACTTAAAATGGGAGATAACACTATAAGTTTTGTTTCAGCAGACTCACGTCAGATTAAAAACACGTTCATAGACATTGTGAATCAAAAATTTGGTGTTATGTTGGGTTTTCTTTGGTTATTCGTCGTAGTAACTGCGAAACCGAAACACAGTCAATTGTGCGCGCGATGTACCTATTTTTCCATTCTGAAACTACCGACGGAGCCGCATGCAATGAAATAAATTTCAATCTTTCGTATTTTGCCCCGACCTCTTGTTTTTTAAACAGCGACATCTTGCTCGTGAGTGCGAAAGAACAAAATCAAGCTTGACAAATCCCAAGATCGCAAAAATACGACTGCAAACTATGTATAGTTGGCAGTTTTTCGCGTATTTTATGTTATTTCAGAATAGTAGTCTTTCATTTCAGTAATCCTAATAGTAAAATTAGCCAATTCAGTATTTTAAAAAGTAATCGAATAGCTCGCGGAGCCCCTGGGTTTCTCTCACGGAGCCCTGGGGCTCCGTACGGAGCACTTTGAGAACCTATGGACTAGGCCACTAGGCTAAAATTAACTATCAGTGATTTTGAATGGGAAGTGGTTAAATATTGAATCAAAATGATGGATATGAATAGTTTAACCCAGTGATTCTCAAACTAGGGTTTGAGAGCCGCATGCGGCTCTCAACAACCTTCCGTGCGGCTCCCGTTAATGTTTTAAAAATTAATTATTTTTAAAGAAAATTTTTCATTGAAAACTAATCATTGACTCGAAATTAAAATGCTGAAGTCTATTAGTTAGTCGAATGGATTCCCCCGTGTTTATTTGCGTAGCGTTGACTAACCTACAAGTTACAATAGTGACGCAACAGTGAGCGTTTTCGCGGACACTCGGACACTTTGCGCTTGGAAAGATTTCAGACATGGCTGTAATCATTGGCTTGCTTTCGTAGATTTTCAGTTTGTGTCGCATTTCCAGATCTTATGTATAAATCAAATAACTCAATGATTATTTTAATTTCTAGAGCATTTTAATTTTGTTCCAGAAATCGAAAATAGTCCCGAAAAATCTGGCGATCATCTCAAGCAGCTACTGCACCTTGCATCCTCCACGATCACGACCCGTTTTGACAAAGTTATTAGAAATCAAAGCTTAATTAAATCAAATAAAAAAATCGAAATATTTTTCGAATCGAATAATTTGAATATTTTTTTATACATAACAGGGATCCAGAACGTCGGGGGCCGATAGTCCATTTGAAAATTAATAGAAACATTGAAAAGTCGGCAATAAAGCGTTTTTTAATGGTTAATTTTATCATAATGGCTGATTGTCATTGTCACCGCGATCGTGTTGGCGGCGATATCCTAAAGTTGGTATTCTATATTTCCGCCCTTTCTCGTTTTTGCAAGAATAAGCGGTCGCCGAATATCGAAATTCCATATTTCTAGTATACCCTTGCGTTCTCATCAGCGACAGCTGTTGAATACATTTAAGGACTGATTTCAAAACCAAATTAATTATATTCTGAGTTTCATCCTCTGCCTTGGATTTGATCTTCCTTATCACCGCTTGTAAATTAACCGCGCCTGTTTTAAGTGAACGGTAACCGAGATGCAGATATTTATCATAATGATAATTGAGTTTCTCATGCTTTTCTATGGTGTTATTTTAGTATTAGATAGATAAACCTAGCAAATTTACGAATGCGTGAATCCTGAAAGTTGATTTAAAATAGCGATTAAATAAAATGTCAATAAAGGCATTTTTAGGCCTGAGTGTCAGACTCTAATTGTACCTGATTACTTCAAGTTTTAACGTTTTTTTTTCAACAAAACAACACCCCGATGGTTATTATAGCTAAAATACTTACTCAGTAATGCTCAATTTTCTTTACGGAATTTGCAAATTCAGCACTTCACTTGATGATTTTGATTATATCATGCCATGGCTCAATTATTACTGCCCAAATGCTTCAAAATTTAACAATTGTAATCATTTTCGATGATAATAGACGCAACAATTTGTGAACGAGTCAGTGTGCATTGTTACAACGAAATTCACGATTGATTTTACGTTCTACTCTGGGCTCAACTTGGCTCGACGGCCATGCATGGTCGAGTAAAATGTTTACATATTCAAAAAATTACTTGGCAAAGGATGGAAGGGATCACTAAAGAGCTAATACAAAGTGCTTTAAAGGGAGTAGGACATGACATTTCTTATCTGGTTACAACTTAATGAATTTTTCCCATACAAGTAACTCATACCAGCTTTTGGAAAAACTTTTGGTCATTTTTTAAATCCATGCTATTTACATAGCTAGAGTGTTTTAATGACCTAAAATCGCCTTTTTCACAATGAAACGCCGAAATGTCATTTTAACATTTAATTTTAAGCAACTTTATGATCGGTAATGCAAGAAATGGCTAATGACATGTCACCAAGCATGCCGAGTTTAAATCTGGGAAATTTATTTATATACCTAATCTGGTTTGACGTTTCTAAATTTAAGGAACGGTCGGTACGTTTTTTTTTGCAAAACGATGAATTGAAAGGATACCATAAGTGCAAAAATAAGCATATAACACCATAACGAAAAGACAACTTTTCAAATTTTTCTCATAGCGAGCGCCATCGGGAAATCTCGCACAATTCACGATTGAGTTGGAGACGCTCGAGTTCGGTGTCCAAGCAGAGCGGCGCAGGTCACGTAATACCAGATATTCAAATAGCAAAATGCCATTCGAATATTTTATTATTCGAATATTTGGCCCATCCCTAGTTGTTACGTGTTGTTGTTACGATGACTTGGTATTTTAATTACGCGCTTAAGGTTTGTTGCTATTTTAACTTGCGTTGTTTGTGTGCGGCTCTTCATACCTTTGAGGTTTGAAATGCGGCTCTGGGACTAAAAAAGTTTGAGAACCACTGGTTTAACCGGTTTGTAAGCGCAAGCATAACTCCTATGACTACTTTTATTATGACCTGCTTCCATCTGAAAAATTGAAATCGAATGGTCTATTAGTGAAATGCGTTTTTCTTCACAACCCTAACAAGAACAATTTAGCAAAACGGTCGACAAACAAATCAGTAGAACCGCGGTCAGGCCTTTTAGAAGTAGTTTTCGGGTTGCAAAAAACGAAAGTTAATTGGAAAATCCAGTGCTGGTTACCTGTCCATGTAAATCACTATCGAGACTAAGCAATGTCAAACCTCGAATTGACGTGAACACTTTTTATTATTGATTGAAAAAAACTCGTCATAACCACTACTTTTATCTATATAAACTAGTCTGAACAAATCAAAAAGATATATGAATGACATCCAACACACTGTTTTCCAAGTAACTAGTATATATATATGAGGCATAACCGCAGCCAAACCAACACTAAGCAAGACATCAACTGCCTGATGAAATCAAAACTCGAATTTGGTTAAGTTATTGAGCTGTATGCTCTTTCACTCGCAAACGATAAGAGCTTCATGCTAAACAGTGGATATCTTTCTAAACCGGTATAATTTGTTAAAGTTACAATCTGCCTAGATTTGAACATATAGTATTTGCCTGCGGCTATAAGAAGTCGCGTTTGCCATTCAGTTTGTTCCGACTATCATCGCAGACTATTTTGCATATGGTTGCGGAAAGTCCGCGAAATTTATGCTATACTCCGAATCTTGAAAATGTAATGAACAAATTCGGCGCGGGATTAATTCAAACTCCATATTTAGGAAATTTTCGACTCGACGTATGTCTGAAAAATTCTGACCTTGGTCAGACGAAACGCTACTCAAATATATATATTTGTGTTAGTGTGAAGAAAGACTTTTGAATCACTTAGGATAGTTATCTTTACCCTTGCATTATATGCATACGGATCCACCGAACAAAAGCAAAGAAGAAGTGAAAATAAATAAATAGGTGTAAATGTTATATTCTTTTGTTGACATTGCCTACATGTTCACAAACTTTAAAAAAAAGGAAAGAAAATATACACGTTTTTTCCTTGGTAATTTGGCGTCACACGAACAAAAAGTGTAAGAACCGATGAGGTACGCCATATTGACACACAAAGTAACAAGAACAACAACAACAACATAATACCAAACGATCCATAGGTTCACCCCGTTTTCAATAACCTAATTTGATTGTTTTAGGGTTCTAAATGTGCCTCAAGTTGTATAATATTCCAAAAGTTTGGGATAATTTCTTGAATTAAAAGCCCAAATGTGATCGCTAGCTGTTTTGTCAACAACTGTGAGCCCCGAATATGCTCACTCAAAAAAACACATGTGAAATTTAGCATATAAAAACAATGTACCAACATCAAATGAAATTAATCCTACACATAGATATTTATAGAGTAATCTATAATTGAAATTATTCTTCGTAAAAGATCATCGCTTGCTTAATTTCAAAAGCTGATCATTTTGAGGTTCTAAGATTTTCCGGACCTCATTTACGGATTGCCATGATGGCGTCTCAAGCGTGTGTAGCCATCAATTTATGACCGATCACCCCAATATGGGTAAGCGGGAACTGAGTCAAAACGCGGCAGTTACTACACGTGTTTCTTTTTAATGCTGGTTTCATTCCAATGCCACGGAACGGTGTTCTTTTTTCCAGTTAGGTACGCGAGGAACCATATAATTAAAAAAAAAAAATTCACGGACAAAACACGTTCCATATATGTACAACAGCATTTCAATCGACAATACAGTACTAATCTCAATCACTTACCCTGGCATATTCCATACTCTCCGTTCTCGAATGGTCGCGACACTACACATTTTTCCAAATTCATTCCCAACCTATGAACGCACAGTCGCACACTCCCACTTCATAGTAAATGCGCCTTTTAATTATTTTCTTAACTGAATTATATTGATGTGTGTGGCCACACCTGATATATTGGAAATCATACCTGAAGCGCTGTTTCATGGCGGTATCTATCGCTAACACTAGACAAAAGTCATTTCTATTGCTGCACATTAGATTACGAATTTGCTTTGGCAAAACTATGTTCAAATTGAATATCATGAAGAAAACGTCCCGCTCACAAGGTAACACTCCAACAGAACTACTCTAATTAGGAGCATTTTATTGAGCTAACTCTCTGAAGAAATTATAGGAGCATAGTATACTATGGAATGATAGCATCATTGCTGAAAATATAAACTTGAAATTACAGCTTAAAAAGACACACAAATACAGGGGGATGTCAGTTTACAAACAAACCGGCTAGGAATGCGGAAAAAGTAAGATCCAACACGCAGTTTCTGATTATGCCATTGTGAGATCAGCTCACTGCATAGATGTAAAACAGTAAATTATAAAATGTCATTGTCACAATGAACGACTATACACAGCACCTTTGGGTGCTAAGGGTTCATTCATTCAATAATATCATTTTTGATTAATGGAACTTAATAAAGGTATAAATAACATTAACTGCATCAACGTTTCATGCTAAGATGGATGGATATTTATTTGTATGTATGCTTTTCATTTATATTTTTGGTTGACAAATCAATAAATCTATCTATAAAATCTCACTTGCTTAGAGCTTTTCTTGCATACATCAATTCACAGGACATGAGTGAGATGGTCAGTTTGTCAAACAAAGTATGCCTAATTTGCAGTGGACTCGACATTTTTTTCAAAGGAACATTCACTAATAGTCTATTATAGTACAATACAATCAGAAGTACATACAGGATCAGGTGTTACATAAACAAGCTAGAAATCAAAATATTGTGAAGAGTTAGGCAAGATGCCTATTTTCGTCAATTATAAATAAACATATGTTGATACCATTTTGTATGCGATCTCGATCGTGTTTAAAGAAATTCTCATAGAATCCAGTTCCCACCTGTTGAGATCGCATACCAAAGTAGCACACACATGTTTTTATTTTGCATGATGGAAAAGATAAAAAAAAATGGTATTAGAATAAACATACTTGTTATCAAACCAAGCATGGACAAAGATGAAGCATGCCATGGAGTCGTTACTGACCCATGTTTAGAAAAAGCTTCAATTAAAAACACGATTAAATACATATACAGAAAGTTATTTTAGGTAAAAGCTAATTTCAAAATAATATTAAGAAGATTATTTATCATTATCACACTATATAATGAATATTAGGCTGCTTGGTGATTTGTAAACTGAACTGCAAGCGAAAACAAGTGAGCGACATGCTTGAAACAAATTTCATCAGGAAGTCTGGAATACCATGTATCGTCTTCTCCATTGTCTCCAATGAAATCAAAGTAGGGGAATATATCCGTCAAACTAAGAAAGTAAACGTAAGTATAAATGAAGAAAAAAATGCAAAAAAACAGGCCAGCGTAGAAGAGGCAATAATACTCAATTGTACAATTCATGAATTTTGAAATTCATGAAAAACACAAAAGCAATTTTTATGCAGGGATGTCCAAAAGGATTCGAATACATTCAAAATTCATAATATTCGATATGGTAAATTTTGAAACTTAAGAATAACTTTTTATTCAAAAATTAAAGATTTTGAGTCGTCTGACAAGCAGATCAAAACGCACGATGTCTCAACTGGTAACAAACAATACTGAGAAAACAATGATCCTCATATGTTATGTTGTTTTTAGTGATGATCAACATGAGTATATTATAATTTATGTAATTTTCCACATCCCCCAAATTTAGAATGTATTCAATATTTCATATTATTTTTTCGAAATATGAAATATTTGTTTTTGACCATCCTGTTTTTATGTGAAATAAATTGCACAATAAAAAAGTTTTTTGGACTTATATTTGTCCATACCTGTCTGCAAACTATATTTGAGCAAATCTGTATATAAAAATTCATATTCTAATAATTCTTACCTCCAATCAGCATTAAAGTCCGGTATTTTGATTAACATTTCATTCAATCGTTGTTGCAATAGAATCACGTCAGAATGCTCAAAAATTTCCTTCAATTTAGCCAAAACTTCTCTGTTGGTGATTTGACTCTGCTCAACTGCAAATTGAGAGTTTTAATGTAAAATAAACAGCGATTTCTTGGGCTCGATAAAACTCTTTATGGGGTCAGTAGACTAATTGGGTGAGAGACGGTGGTTCGATACATCAGGGCTCATCAAACTGGGGGCCATCCACCCTCGATGGGCCGCGAAAAGTGCTCAATGGGGGTCATAGTTATTTTCAAGAACAATATTAAAGTATTGAACGTTGATCAGAATTTTTTTTATTTGTATCTACATTTGAGTATGGGCTATTGTGGAGTGAGTGAGTTAGACACAGACCATCCATGGCCCATGCTCAGATACAAACTGCCTGCATGAAATAACTATACAGTCTTTCCAAACAAGAGATACAGTACAACTCACCAGTAGACAAGGCATCTTTGTATGGGTTCAAACCCCGCTTAGAGAAATGAACTGATTTATGCCACGACAGACGATTATATAAAGACAAAGTATGTTCTATCTGTACAGTTCTCGGTATAACTGAAGTACGAGAAGCAGAAAGTAGTAAATCTTTTTCCAAGAATTCGTACAGATATCTTTTTCCGTTGCTTTTCACCTATAACAAAATAGACGTTCCGGATTAAAAATTCTTGCTTCACACAAACAAGTACATGTACCTAAATAATTGTTACCAATTGTTGAGTTTTGTTTAAAATCTAGAGAAATAAAATCGCCGACAATTGTCAGTGGAAGGGTTCATGAACACTCCCCAGATAACCACACATAGTATCATGCATCTGTCATGAAGAATGAGTCTGGTTTGATGTTAAACACTCAAAAAAAAAATTGAGAATTCCAGAATATTCGAAAGCAAAGTGAAGACACTTGAAACAGCTATGAATATGAAAGGTAATCATCACCTTAGCAAGAAAGCTGATGGCCTGAGTTAACGTTCTGACACCTTCACAAACATCAGCCGATGTAACTCTTAATATAATTCTGTCAACATCCTGAGCAAGTTTTGCAGATAGTGGCAACTGAAACCAAAAATTTATGTTCATTGTATTTCTGGCGACTATAGTTTTCCCAAAGAACTAAGCAGACTGAGCATGAAAATTTTTTGGAAGGACAAGTTCCAAAAGTTCAGAAAAACACAGTTCATTATAGTATCTTTGAAATAAAAACAACGTCGTAGCATTGTCAGTCTCACTCTACCTTTCACCAGCCTTTATGCTTATCGTTTCTTTAACAAAAATCAAATTTTGAGCCTTGTTATTAGAGGAGATATCCTGGTGGAAAAAATCTAAATTAGACAAAGTTTATAATTTTATTGTCCATATGCTATTCAGTATTAGTGTAAAATTTGTATTCCCAACACTGCTAAACTGACGAGAAATGAGTTAAATATTTTGCATAAGGATATAAATACTTGTTACACAAAGTTATAACATGGACAAAACGAACCAATCAATTTAGATACCTGAGAAGTATTGCTCAGTACTTTATCCCAATCAGAACCAATTCCGATATCTTGCGGGTATTGAATGCATGGTAGAGACTGCAAAAGTATTAAAAATCATTTCAGAAATAAAATGAATTCAAATACAATAAAATGGACAACTGTAAGTGAGCTCTCTCATTTGCTGGAATACAACACAACTGCAGTAAATAACAATGACTATAAAATATATTTGTCAGCGGGTGGACGAAACTGCAAGGTTAACAAAGTTGACCAGTTCCATAAATTTTTTAACACAATTTCTTGAAAACGAAGGTTGTGAATTTATAAAAAATTGAATATTGAAATGCTAAAACAAAGATTATATTTAAAAAGTGATTCACACATTTGATAAAACAAGAAACATTTTAGATGAAATATTGACCAATATTCAACAATTTAGAATAGGATTTTCATGTTTATTCTGAGTCGATAAGGCGGATTAATCATACGGAATACAACAGCCTATCGTCCCATTACCGTATGGGATTTATATATGGCTATTTGTTCAGACGCACAGACTGGAAGACTCAAATTTACCTGTTTCGCGATAAGTTTCTTGTACATGACAAAATTTTCTCTGGTCTGGAACAAAAGAATATAGTTCACAAATATTATTAGTCCTGGTTTTGGCATTTGAAACAAAGTATTTTGCTGTGATTTTATTGCCAAGACAACTTAATTAGGCATGTACAACCTAACCTCAGATAAAATAATCTATCGTTGAATATATTAAGTCTTTACAACTTTGCCTGACCACCAAATAGCAATAAACGTGACACCATGTGCAATTCTCAATTTTGATGATCATCATCGCAAACAAAAAAAAACGAATCCCATAAAGCCCACCGAAATTTTTGGAATAAATAAAAGTAATATCATTCTAGCAGCAAATACAATATTCAACCATTGAACATTTCAAAGTAATTAGTCAAGCAGTTAATGAGAAAAGCGATTTTTTCACAACAAGAAAAAGAATTGAATGACTAACGTCTAACAACAACAACATAATAACAAAACAGTCGATGTGTACACTCCATGTGTAAGTTAAAACCCTATATAGCTTCACAATTCAATTTTTTAGAAATACCAGTCTCGAAAACAATATAAAAATATAAAATATAATTTGCATTGTAGTTAACTTAAATAGTGCTGCATACATAACTTCTACACTTTTCCACTTGTATAAGAAAATTTTTATTGAATCGAATGAAATTTGCAAAACTTTTGGATTTATGTGCAATAATGTATTTATGTACCTGCTTTTCTAATGCATTGATGTTATATGAAAATCTGTGATGTCTTCCCTGGCTATTTTTGATGATGTTATATTTAGTATGCATATGGATAAGTGGCAGTAAGTCTTCTTGTTTATCAATCTGTACGTAATGGGTATGAAGTAACTGAGATACTTCGGCTTCTTCGATGCTGTTAAAATAAATGAAAAGATTCATATTTTGTTAAAAATCTTGGGATCGAATCCTAGGATATCTAGTAGTTATCCCAAGCCAGGGACGGCTGAAACCATCGAATTTAATATTTCGAATACATTCTGAATTGGGATGAAGTTGTGAAAAATTACATGAATTGTTATATCTTCATGTTGATCCCATCTAAAACAACATAAATATAAAGGTCATTGTTTTTTCTGTGTTGTTTGTTATCAGTTGAGATATCATATTTTTGATCTCTTTGTCTGGCAGCTCAAAATTTTTAATTTTTGAATAAAAATGTTATAAATTATTCTTAAATTCACAACTTTTTTATATCGAATTAGTGAATTTTGAATATTCAATTCGTTTTGGGCATCTCTGGCCTGAGCCGGGCTCTATATTCAGTTAATAAGAAAAATCATGTCAATCGAAAATAAGCCATCCATTCCGAACATATAAAAGATCTACATGATAATGTGTGCTTGGTAAAGCATAATTAACTGGTAATCCCTTGTTCATGTCACAAGCACATGATGAACCAACTTTGCCGCAGTTAATGATGACAACAAATAATTACAGCTGGCTTGTTTCATTATGATTCTAAAGAATTTGGGCATAAATAACCCTGGTGTTATCCCGTTATTTTTTATGGCATTTAACGGTTAAAATTTCTGCAACCATTAACCATCAAAATGGTGAACCGATTAGCTATTTCCAACCTTATTCAACAAAATGAAGAAAACACAAAAATATGAAGTTATATGATTTAAATCAAAGGGGTGCAACATACGGAACCTATTTACGTGGCCCGTAAGAGAGTTGGTATCCGATTAATTTTGAATGCTTTTTCTTATCTATAACGACACCACCAGTGTTTTTGAGTTTGTGTTACACGACAACTATAAAAATAAATCTCGCTTCTGGCAACACAAAGGTACTGCTGTGAGCAGTTCATTTCAAAACTGACAGTTTAGGACAAATTTCAGGAATTCAGGCTTACAATTGAGCAGGTGCTAGCTCGATCTAGAGTTGCTTAAAACTAAAGGATTGTTCCATAAAGAAAGGATTGATTGGTCCGGCTCTCAGCGTCACCGTAATTTTTTCGTTTTGGCTCATTGTGATAAACAGTTGCACGCCTATGATTTGAAGAAAAAAATAGCTCTGTCAAGAGCGACAGAGCATTGTGTAAATACTAACTATGGATAATGTTTCCAAAATTTACCTTTCATCACCAGGCATAACTTGTTTACATTTAGTGAGAAATGCATTTTGTAGGTCGATGAGATATTCTGCCAAAATTTTTGCACACTGTCCTCTTCCTCTTGTACTGGGTAAACCCATTGATATTGGGCTCGTTCTTGTGATTCGACGGAAATATTCAGTCAGTCTTTTTTCATGAGAAAGTCGAGCTTTCAACTTGATATGAACCTAAATAGAAGTATGTAATATGTGAATAGGTATCATGCATGGCCAGTATGTACTATAATTTAGTAAAAAATTACAAGAAAGCAATACGAAAATCTATGGACAAGAAGGCCGAAACAGATCTTTTTATCCACAAATCCCCCCCAAAATCATACCCTAAAACAGGAATAGATGCTGTATCAGGGTACCAGTACCTGTGATCCGAGTCATTGTAGTATCAAATATTTGACAGTACCAGACTACTACTGTAGTGTACCGTAATCCCAAAAACTGGTACTCCCAAAGCATGTGAACCAAGATGGCAGACACTGGAGCGTAGTATGTGTACCAGGTTAGGGTTAGGCAATAATTTTATTTCAATTTTCCTTATTTTAGTTCTATTACGAGTTTGGGGACTAGCCAAGTGACTCACATAGTATTTGTACCTGAAATTATGGCCTAACCATAACCTGGTACACATACTACGTTCCAGTGTCCGCCATCTTGGTTCACATACTTCGGCAGTACCCAAAAAACTTCAGACTTTGGCTAAGCACGAGATCCGCTAATATGTGGTTGTGGAAACACTACAAGTAATTTTCAATTGTGAAGCCCAGGAAACTTTGGAATAAATAAAAGTAATCGCCTTCTGGTGACCACAATCTTTAACCACTGAAAACTTCAAAGCAATTGGTTCAGTAGTTAACACCAAAAGCGATTTTTTCACAACAACAAGAAGAAAAAAATGACAAAAGATCCATATGTCCACTCCCTGTCCAATATCTTTGCGGGTTCTTTGGAATAGGATCCAGTACTGTGTGCAGCTAGTTCATCATCTATGTCAAATTTGGCATAATTGAATAAATATAATATATTTGTCACTATGGGTAACTAAATGAGCAATAACTTCTTCTACCATGTTTGGCAGGTTTAAAAGTACCAGTACTTCCCAACAAAACAGGAACTTGCCCAAGAATGATGAAAACTAGCCAGGAAATGAAAGTAACATCTACATCACAAATTGGACTTATATCCCTACCTATACCAAGTCAACAAGTAATCTGTTATTTCTCGCAGGTAAAATTTGAAGTTCAAAACAGTGTCATATAAGACCTCTCCCCCAGGATAAATATGAAAATCTGATCTTATCTTAATATCCACAGTACCTTGTTCCAAACTTCAATGTATTTTTCAACATGCTCTTGATATGAATGTCCTCCCTCTCTCAAGAAGTCTTTCAATTTAATTTGTTCTGTGTCATTCATGTCTGTTTCATTTTGATATCTGTTTAAAGAAGTATATAAAATTATAAAGTAAAAATATGATAAAATGTATCGAAACAAGAGTTGACATGGACAGAGTAAAGTAGTATTTTCTTATTTATTCCGGGGTAGAGGAAACGCAACAAGATGGTGTGATCATGAGGCAAACCATGTCATCCTGTCCGATTATTAGTCCATGTCTGGTGTGAGAATAATTAAATCATTTATTTGTTTCGAAAGTATGGACTTTATGGTGGGAGAAGCCTTAACAGCGAAGCAGTTACATGAACCTACCTACGACGGCGAAGTCAGTCCTCTCACAGATCATTATTACTCTGGGGATTCAGTCCGGCAAACCCGAAACATACCCAGTCTCAAATCTCTCTCTGCTCTCAGCTTTGAGATCAACAAACAAAAGCTTGCCTCTCTTTTAATCTCTCGTTGGTACTACGCAGATGCGTAACATCAACAACAACAACAACAACAAGTGAGTGAATATTTTATGCAGCTGGAAACACTGCCACTGAACTCAGATCAAGTTTCATCGGATTCATGTAACAGGTTTCTTATTGTGCGTGGCAACTCAGCAAACTCAGTGAGAGATTTTATATTTTTATCAATTTTAATGTCTGGGGGACCCATTGGGATGAAAAAAATCATGAACAATTACAAGTACTTGAGATTGGATTCGAAAAAAAAATATTCTGTTGTCTTCTAAAACATCAGGTATTCCAAAATGCCTAGCCCTAGTCATGAGTACTGTGATGCATACTTACTTTTGTATAAGTGCATTTTGAAGTTCGAGCACAGGTCTCAAATATTTAACTAATTCAAGATCAGGAGAATGTAGAATTGTTGTCAGTACACCTGCGATAAATATATCAATTTTATCAACTTCAAATAAAAAGTAATAGTGCGATAAAAAGAATGGTTTTCTGGTTACTTTTAAAGTTGGTTGTTAAAAAGACATTCAATTATAGTCTGCATAAATTTTTATAAGACATATTAGATAGATTACAAGGAATACATCTCTGGAAGGAATATCAATACATTGAAGAAATGTTATTACGATTTCTCACAAAAACTCGATCTGAGGGAGAAAATCTTTTCTCAGTTTTTAGGCATGACCAATTGGAAAAGATTTATTAATTGCTAGAAAAAAAATTAGTGTTGCACAGTGATACTTATGGCTTATGCATGCATGTCTAAAAATAAAAATAAATAGTTTCCGACTAAAATGTCACCTTCTTCAACATCAGTTGCATCACCAAGATACTGGATTAACCGAGCAGAAGTCGAATGCTCAATGGTTTTCCACAACATTGGATCATTCCATTTAAAATCCGTTGCATTAAGATGTGGATTGTCGTGGACTTCATGAACAAGCCTGAATAACGATTGTCGAATAAACAAAGGAAAAAAGAGAATAAAGAAAGAATTATGCAAACTGCTCAAGTCTTGACTAGGGCTGGGCAAAATATTCGAATAACGAATATCGAATCGAATATTAAAATATTCGAATGGCATTTTACTATTCGAATACCCGGTACCACGAGACCTGCGCCGCTTTGCTTCAACACGGAATTCGGAATGGAGAATTGTGCGAGAATTCACAAACGGCGCTCGCTAACATACAAAATCCACAAATTTTCTTTGCGTTATGAAGTTATTTGTTTTCTTTTCAGGCCTAACGTATCGTTTCATTTCCTTATTTTGCAAAATAGGTCCCCACCGTTGCTTTAATTTAGGAACGTTCTGTTCTGTAAATTATAAACGTATGACGATGTATTTAAAAAATCGAAAATTCTCAACAGTCACCGCGATTACGCGCTCGTGAAAGAGACGGTTTTTTCAGCGTATAATGATTTTTCTGTTGCGTAAAATGATCAATCCATGACAACTACGGGATTCCAAAATGTCTTTATATATTAATTTAATTATGTCAAACGGAACTCGCGGTTACTTCTTCTTAAGTCAAAATTAAAACATTACCTTTCCGAAATGCCACGGCAATCTTTGGACATAAAAGTATGAGATAAACTGCGGGGTGTATTTAATTTTAATACGTATTTTTGGAATCTTGCGAACTCGTTATCACCGTTAGAAAAATCTCAATAACTGATATAAAATCCCGTAGAGTACAATTTCATTTCGTACAATGAAAATACATATAGAGTATATCGTTTAATCAAAAATACATATTCATCGCTGCGATTAGGCCGACTTGTTAAACGACTTGTTAAAAGAGCCGATTTTTGCAATGGATAATGAGTTTTCTGTTGTGCAAAGTAGTCAATTTGTGACCGATAAGGGCATATTTAAAATGTCTTGCTTTATTATTGTCTTCAATTTAACCAGCGGTTGAGTCGACAAAATAAAATCTTCACAATTTTAAAATACGACGGCAATCTGCGAACATAAAGTGTGGTAAACTGCTCGAATATATAAAGCTTTGATTTCCTTATTTTCAGGTCTTGTAACATCAAAAAATCCATAAATCTGCTGTAATATCTCAGGTTAAAATTTATTTTAGCACAATAAAAATTGATTGAATATACATTAGATTGATTATCTTATATATATCAACACAACCCGGGGAAAGTTGTCCGTTTCAAACCTTTTATAATGTTGAAAAGAAAATTTTCGACGGCAATTTAAAGTAATGGATAATATGGCCAATCCCGCCCACAATTAACAGTGCTTCCATCTTAGTGATGATATGTTTTCTAAACGCCGGCCAAACATAATGTGTGCGAGAGACACACGAAATTTTGCGATTTTCAATGTCAAAAAGGGGGTTTTAAACTGTCGCAGGCCTCAATAAAACTCATATTGTTCAAAGTTTTATTTTCAGTATTTTATATTGCCGCTTTTCAATCAAAAAATTTGCGATGCCCCCAGAAACTCGCCGCTGATGAACGTATATTAATTAAACTATCGCCGGATTCGCAATTCCATGTGTGTATAAAAATAAAATAATTACCATCGTTAACGTCGCACAACGCTGTGGAAAATTTTTGATTTAGAGAAGATAAAACCAACATAAAGTTGTTTACGGCCTAAATACCACCTCACGCTGATAATAACAATCGGCGATTATAGCAAAATGCTATTGCACGCGTTATTGGAAACTTTTACAGTTTTAAAAAAATTTCAACGGCAACGCACGGGTATACCTAATATATAAAACTTCGATGTCCGCCGACCCGCAAGAATTAATACTTTCAAAAAAATGAATCGGGCGGGAATACAGATTACGAACTTTAGGATCGCGGCGACAAAAACAATTAGCGATGTTGATGAATTTAACCAGTAAATAAAAAACGCTTTGTTGCCGATTTTTCAAAGTTTCTTCTAATTTTCGAAGGGAGTATCGACCTCTGACGGACCCCCGTTGTATTTAAAAAAAATTATTCGTTATTCGACTATTCGGTATTTGTGAAAAATATTCGAACAATTCGATTCGAAAAAAATATTCGATTTTGCCCACCCCTAGTCTTGACTCAGAACTCGAATCGTCAAGTTGAAAATTTGGTGCTCCAGAAGTATGTGTAACAATATGGAGGTAACTAATTTTGTTTGCCTACTTTACATCAAGTTGTGTGCAGGGACTGATGACTATGAGCAGGGGGTGTATTCACTCGGAATAAAATTATGGCCTAACCCTAACCTGGTACACATACTACAGGAATACCAGAAATTCATTCAAACTAAAGATATTCATATAATATTAATAGCAGGGGTGGCCAGAACCGAAAATATTCAGTATTCCGAATACATTCAAAATAATGTTTTCCAATATTGGATATTGAATATATTCTGAAATAGGTCTGTTCCACAATAGGAATTCTCCAGTACAATTGTAAATTGGTTACGCAAAATAAGTGAGAAAACATTGTTCTATTAATATTCTCTATTTCATTCTGTCAAAAGTTAACTAATTTTTTGTCAGTCATAAGATGATAAATGCTTCAAAAGACATTTTAAATGAATTCGAATATTCGACTCATTTTGGGCATTCCTGGTTAATAGTTTGGCATTCTGAAATTATATCTAACTATAAATTTATATTATTTTAATTAAATCTTAATCTATCTATATAGAAAATATCATATTTTGGAGAAGGAATAAAAAAGATTTTGATTATCCGAATCCTATAAAAAAATTTTTATCCCAACCAAGTCCCAATATGGGTCATTTTACGACTGTAACTCATATATAATCGTGCACATAATCGATTTTTGTAGAAGAGGATTTTAGGTGCACCTTATTGTCCGTACAATTTTTTATTTTTATTTTTTTAGTGGATTTTTCCTGAAACATTACGAACCTGTGTAAAGCCACACTACATTGGTCTTCTGCTTCATTAATTGTATTTTGTGCTTCTGTGATGACATCATCGAGATTTTGAAATACTGGAAGCAAATATTGTTGTCTGAACATGGTTTCCCATTCTCTACGTTTGTCCAATGTCGACCAATCTGGAGGTTGAGGGCCTTCTCTCTGCATATCAAATTAGAAATTAATGAAAATATATAACATAGCGGTCACACAAATAATTTGTATTGATTAGAAAATAATCGCTGGCCGGGAACTACAATACGTTAGTAACCTTAAAGTTAAAGACGATGAAATATATTTGGGCTCACTTTTAAAAGATAATTTCTGGAATGACCTAATCCAAGTAATTTTGCAGATTTGTATACGGATGAAAAGTAGTTGAGTAGGCTTAGTGTGGACAATATTGAACCAGAAAGCATCGATCAATTAAAGACATGTATTCTGTGATAGTGGTTGGCCGTGCAGAGCCTTGCTCAGAGCAAAGACATGAAAATTAGCCATTTTTTGCTAGATATGTCAATATGATTTTTATATATTACGAGTTAGTTTGACCATATAAAACCCAAACTAACCTGATTTAACACTCTGAGAATAATTTTGTACAAAACCAAAATAGTGTCATCCATATTTCTTGCCAGTGCATTAGACATGTTTTGGAGATTAGTCAAAAGTTGTTTGACTAAATATTTCTGAGATTCGGATTTAGAGCTAGTATTCAGCATTCTGAAATAAAAAAGTAAGACATTTATTTAAAAAAAAAAGGATTTTTCATATTACTTCCAAATAATAAATAGAAATAAAAGTGTTTTTATAGTGGTTTAGCCAGTTATTTGTTTCAGGTACATGGACTTAATTGCTCCCATAAATGTCCAATATGGACTCACCGAGTAAATAGACAGTTGATGCATCATGCTTGGAACACACTTGTCATTGCACCATTGACTACCGTGTGCGAGCAGTAATGTGCAAAAGGATCGCTGGACCCAAACTGCCGTACAGTTGTTCCCATAACAGTTGATCAGATACAGCTTCCTCCACAAACAAGTCCAAGCATATGAAACAAATAACTGGCCAACTAATCCCATATCCAACATGAACTGGGAACTGAATGGAAGGACATTGTTTGCCATATTTTTAAGCCGTCTTATCATTTTCATCTCCATTGGATAAATAAAAAAATCCCATTCTATTTAATAAAAGCACAGGTGAAAGCATTAGTACCACTAACCCAACTATGGTAGCTTCTTCGTGGTTGAGTCCAATAAGCATACAAGAGTGAAGAATAAACTGAATAACGGCTGCCCCTTGTTTCGAAACTCTATCGGCAGGATCGCCGACATTTCCTTGCATTTGATTCAACTTATAACCAGCTTGACTTTGTTCATTCAATAATGCATGGCGTTGATTACCAGCTGCTGGTCTGTGGGCTGCTCCACCAATAGTAGCACCACAATCTGCACATTTAGCTGTTTGCATTGGTTGCGTACATTCTCCGATTGTATAGATGTGACCATTAGGACAAGTGTATAAAGTATTATATCCTTGACGACGATATTCAACAGGTGTAGAAAAATATGGATTCTCTGGCATCGCAGGTAAAAACATATTTCTTATGATACTCGGCCGTGTCAGAAGATGAAGAAATCCATCCATCATATGACTTCTCGCTGTTACCATGGCGACAATTAAGGTCACTAACTGATATAAAGTGTGGACTTGCTGTTCAGTAATATGTGGTATTGCTTTCAACATAGGTATAAAATTGCTTTGTAGATGGATTAGGAAAGCAAAAAAATGAGTACCGGCATCTGGATTGTTTTTCAAACATTCCGAAACCGTGGTTTTGATATCATCAGGTTTATTGAGCGACCATGTAAACAATGACAGAATTTTTCCGAGTCGATTCAAAGGAGCGTCAGGTGGAAGTAAACTGTTGACTAACTTTTCAACATCTGTAGCAGGCGATTTATAAAGCATAGATTTTGCTTTGGTGTAGGATTTCCCCAACAATGGCCAACGATCAGTTTTATTTTTGTCTTCGCTGGCTTCAAGAAGCGAGATCGGAATGAGGTCCTGAATCAATGAAAAAATATTTGCATCCCTTCTTATAATATATAATAACATCGGTAATTATATAGAAAATCCTATGTGAGCTGCAGAACTATGTGTACCAATATGAAGGTAACTATTTTTTTTCGCCTACTTTACATCATGTAGTGTAAAGAGACCGAAATAAGGAAAATCAGAATAAAACTATGGCCCAACCAGGTACACATACTACGGGTATACCAAATCCTATCCTAAAGTCGCACAACGGTATCTGAGGCCCCAATCGTTTTTACACTTATGCCATCTCTGTTATATTGTTTATTTATTAAGCATATGCTGTTATATTTGGAGGCAGAAGCATAAATATGTATTTTTAGACGAAACATGTACAGTAATTTTGTTTCAAAATTTAATAAAAATGCTCACCTCTAAGACAGCATTGTCTCTTAATTGGTGAAACCAGTCACTTCCGTATATTCGACATGCAATTTTGATGATGAATTCTTTAAGAACACTTTCACTGGTATCATCAATGATAATTTTTACAGCAAAACTGACAAAGTTATCTGACTTTGCTGTAATTTCATAATCAATGTCGACTCTTTGAAAAATATCTTGAATACAGCTTGTCGATATGGATATAGACTGTCGTATTTCAGCGACCGCTTGCAGAATAGAAACTTTAGTCAAGGATTCATCATTCAATAAAATTTTTCTCCATGCAGCACCTAGAAGTTTTTCCCAACGATCGAGATATGAAATTCGATTCGGTTGATACGGTATTGAATCGAGAATGAGTTTATCTTCAAAACATTTCGTAATTACGAGTGTTATATCCCTCAACTGTGATCTTTTCGATTTAGCCATCCATTCATTGAGTTCATTTTTCACAATTTCAGGATCAAAATCCATTAAAATTCGTAATATGCTACTCCTTGCGTTGATGTTCAAGTCCAAAGAAGGATTCACGATTTCTTTTCTTTCATTGCCAGGTGCTTGTATAACCAGTTCTCGTATTAGTGTTTTGATCTGCATTTCCATGGGTTTCGCTTGAGATCCTTCCAAGGGTGCGAAGCAAAATTGACGCAGATATTCCATAAAGAAACTTGTACAATTCGACTGAAAATTTTCCAATTCTTTCATCTGGTCGGGGTTCAAAACAGCAGGTTTTGGGTGGCTATCTTCTTCCGAGATCTCTCCAGCACATGTAGGACACCTTCTTCCAGTTTGTGCAGCGGCCATTAGACGCAAAATACACATTTCGCATGTGAAATGACCACACTGTAAAAAGGTTGGGTTCTCAACTCGTTTTCTGCACAATCTACAATTAAAATCTTTGTGCCAATTTAGTAGAATCTTTAGTCTAATATCGTCGTGCAACCTGCGCAAAACGTTTGACACGATGCGCAACACTTGATAACTTCTGATATCAGTTTTTGCTATTCCTCTCCACAGTAGTTTAACCTGTGGAGCAATTACAGACAGGTATCTTTTAAAAACTTCTTCCACATTAGAACTAGGAAGAACATGTCCGATTAACAGATCAACAACAATCAGAGGAGTCCATTTCTCCTGTATTTCCTTTTTCGCTTCTTCATCATAAATATAATCGACGGTTTTTTTGAAAATTCTTTTGATGGTAGTCATAAGATTTTTCCATGCAAGACAAGAGTTGGCATCATTTAAAGATTCTGCTTTTTCTTGCAATAATTCCATTACACTTTTGAATGCAAAAATATGGATACGAAAGTCATTGAACGCTTGCTGTTTTTTCACCCAATCATCTGCTTTTCCGACCATTTCCGGACAAGCTCTGAAAATTTCAGCCAATAATTTTAGATATTTTTGATGTTCTTGATATGTTAAGAAAACCATAGCAAATTCATCACCGTTTGTAAATCCAGAAATCTTTCGTAGATCTTGGTATTTCTTCATAGAGAACGCGTGGATGACATTTCTCACTGCCTCAAACTCTTTCGGATTATCAGACCCCGGTACATAGACATTGTGAAGAAGATCCAAAGCATATAGTTTTATCATATTAATCACTTTTGCCACTCTTAATGCATTTCCTGCAATTTCAAATAATGGTGATTCTCGAAAAAGCGAGTAAAAAATCTCATGCATGTTTGGAGATTGCTGTTGATACAAAGTATCCCATTGATTGGTGAAAAATTCGTGTAGCTCATAACTAAAAGGCACAGTACAGGCAATAGTAGACTTATGATGTTGAGGTGCTGTGATGAGAAATTCTCGAGCGCCACCGATAGAAGACCAAGAGAGCGGCAGAGCTTGAAATATTTTGAGCCACATTTCAGCTTTCCATGCAGTTTCTCCAGTTTTTAACAACAGATTTAGATTATCATGACGATCAGATATACTGATTATATAAGCCATCATGCGAGAGACGTGTCGCTTTAAACATAGCCACAAAGTTTTACGAAACGTGCCACCCTCTTGAAGGCTTTCCCGGTTACAGGCTTCGTTTGTGATCCAATCTCCACCCATCAGCAAAATTTGTTCCTCTCTTTGGGAGTATAAATCAATCATTTTTTGCAGAAGAATTTTGCGAAAATGTATACTTATAGGCGTTGTCTCAGAGCAAAGTTCTGTCAGAATTCGAACTCGATCGAAATAGCGCTCGCTTTTACTCAAGCGACTTTTAACTTTTGCAACCGCTTCACAAACACAATCTTGAAGCAAAGATATGATATTTACCAAAGAACCCTCCTGTCTTTCACTTTCCAGTTCTTCGAGACCCATTCTTAGGACCTCACAAAGAGACTTCTTGTAAAATTGACTCGCAGGTGCAATATCGTTATTTGTTGGTCTCAGTTCATCAACGTACACTATCTGATTATCTCGAACGTGCTGTAGCAAAAGCGAGTCACCTGAAACATCATTGGCGCCTTCTCTTTCTGTCGATAACAGAAAAGCGACGACAATTTTCTTGTTATTCAAATTACTTGCATTCAAAGTGTTCAATTCTTTGATTTTATTAGTCAAGCAGTATTTTGCACATGCTATAAGTTGTCCTTGGGATTGTGACTGGGAACACTGAATTAAAAGTACACCTGCTTTTGTATCAGAAGTTGCTTTCTTTTGATATGAAAAAAAATCATCGAGTTTACTTGCATATTCTTGCTCCGTTTCAAACTGTTCAAGCGAAAGAAGCATCACGCTATTTTTCAAATTGAGTCCGGTTTCGAGTTCTTGTCGGTCGCTCTCAGAAAGTATATTTGAGTAAGATGTGATTTCAAACAATGGACAGCGTTGTTCCATCTTCAAAACTTCTTTAAGTAGAAGTAAAAGGCTGTCGTGACATTGTCGTTGTAGATATTGCTTCTGTATAGTTTCAATTTCTCCTCCGATTTGAGATTCTGGCAATCTGAATATGGCATCCATGCCTGCCGATTGCAATAATATTTCTTTGTATACATTTTCATCATTGCTTTGTGTCGTCAACACAACAGAACAGACAGTATCGTCATGGAAACCAACAAAAGCGTCTTTGCTCAGGAATTCTTTTCCTCTAATATTTGCAAAATTATCAGCCCATACTGTCAAAGAATTAGCGTCTTCAGTTTGGTTTGGTGATAAAAGACTCTTGGAATCAAGATGATGTTTTTCAAGTCTGTTGATAAGCGGAATTGGATATTTACTATAAACGACTTTATTCTGTTCAACAACGATTAACCTGAAGTTGTCTGCAATTCTACATTTCACTCGATGACCTCCAAGGCCCAAATCCACGTATCTTTGACCTCCAAATGTGACATAATGTTGATTGAGAGCGTCGTAAAGAGATTCATGAATTTCCGTCATATTTAGGAGAACAACTGTTCTGCCCGTTTCCATACACACTTTTATCCTATTAATATTTCGGCAAATGTCAGTATAATTGTGATCACCAGGGAAACTGGATCCGAAAACAACTTGAGCGCGTTGTTCAAAATCATCCATACACATATGCAACAAATTAGCCGCGGAAAATTGATTCGTCAACAATAACAAAAATCGACTTTCTTTCTCTTGAAGATTATCAGATATCATCTTCCGGATGGGTACAGATGATTGTAAACCTCCACGGAAGAGATATTCAATATTTTCTCTGAATGTTTCGAAATGCGACTTCTTTCCCCCACTGAAATTGCGATGAATCGCGTTGGCAACATCGTCAGGCGTTAGTTTAGCATCTTTTGACGAAGTACAAATCGCATGTATCATTTTAATCAAACTATAATAGTCACGTAAGCCAAAATATTCCACTTCTTGTGCTTCATAGATTGTTAAATATGAATGCGTTAACCTCTCAAGAAGATCAAGATTCTCATTAATCTTGCTTTTGTGATTTTCAAAAATTCCTTTCGCTGTTTTTTTCAGATCATCTTTATTAGGTTTGTTTCTTGTCACAAAAATTCCTCGATTCATTTTTGCTGGGTCAAGAGCCCAATTCGATATTCCGACAAATCCTACTTTTTTTGTGATGTCATATTCAGTTAAACTATTGTTTGCCGTACTTCCACATTCAAGAAGAGGATGCAAAACCTTAAATGAAATAGGTATTATCACAATAGAATTCCAAAAATGACGTTTAAAACAAACACGACGGTCCAAGCTTCAACTTTACAATTTTGACTTTCGCATCGTTAAAAATGAAAATTTTCATTGACAGCAGAAAAACGATGGAAAAACAATTTTGGTTAAAAATAAAGCAAGTGTGCAACTTTGCAACAAGATTTTCTGAATGGCGTAAATCAATGCCCAACTATCCAGAAAATAAAATTTTTGAAGATATCTAAATTACGGTTGTGAAATTAAAAAATCTTCTGAGCCATTTTAAAAGTAACATCTTAAAACTGGATAAAAAATCCCCAAATTCTTGATAACACAAGTTTGACTATGAAACCATAGTAACCATTTTTTTAGTTTAAATTGAAAACTTTCGCTTCAAGAAATCTGAACCTCCAAATACAACTCCAATTAATATTTTAACCTTAACACCAATGGAATTGAAAATACAACTCTGATAGTGAAACAAGGAACAGCCTTTGATATACCCGGTATTATCATTGACCGAAGAGACAAGAGCGAATGAGTATTTACGTATGATTGAATACTGAAATAGAGTTCCTTGTTCTTGCGTTTGCATTGTTAATTGCATTATTATAATTCAATTATGAAATATTAAAAATTGCTTTTTTCTTTACAGTTATACCTGATCAAAGTTTATACTCGTATTTGGTATTTTATGAAAAGAGATTCAGCTATACAAGGTTATGACACATTTATACTGAATCTAATACAGGGATAAGCAACATTATTTGTGGGTGGGCCATATAACCAACTTCAGACATCTAGCCGGGCCACACTAAAAATTTAGTTTTTCCACGTACACAACGAAGCCTTACAGTAATAAAGGCAACGAGCAACACGGCAAAAAACATTATCAAATTAACCATGTGGGCACCTTTTTAAACATAAACTGCTGGATTATGATTTCATGATCGATTTGGAAAATCTAAGTGTTGACAAGGGCCACAATAAATGGCTTGGCGGGCTGTGGCCCGCCTGTTGCACCCTCCTGATCTAATAGAATAATAAGTAGATGTACATGCATGCCCTGGCATTGTCGTGTTTGACTTACCTTTAACGGCATGTTTGGTGAATCTTCAGCTAAGCCTATTTCATCAAGAACAACAACAGCCGTGTAAGATTCTAAATCTTGTTGAACTTGCAGTTGAGCACATTGTTTGAAAACACTTTCAATACCTGCAGCATCAGTCAATGCACTGCATTGGTAAGACAGTATGTGGACCTGATGGAAAATAAGAGAGAATTAACCATTTGTGAAGATGTCCTCTGTCAGAAAATTTTCCATCCCGTCAAACTTGGCATAATGAAACTCAACTAGGTTCTATATCCATAGTCTTGTCATTTCATAAAATTAGGAATGTATTCTTTCTTGAAGTATGATATAAAATAGCTTTACCTGTTTTAATTTTTTGTAAAGAGGTGACCGAGATGTTCCACCTTGCATGTTATCACCAACAATAGTTTTGGCGAGAGACTTTGAGCTTCCGGGTTTACCAATCAGGAAAAGCGGAATACGCATGTCAGCACACACCGTCATCATGAAAACATTTTCTTGTAAAGCTTCATTAGCCGCGATATTGTCATCCATTTTCATATTTCGTAAGAAAACAGCTTGGGCTGCGGAAATTTCTTCACGAATGGTCAACTCCGAAACAAGCATTCCTTCAAGACCGAAAGCATATGTGATTGCTTCTCGGAACTTAATTCTGTCGTCAAGAGATGCATGATAGCAGACACCGATGGTCTGTAGCAAAGTTCTCAGATCGCTGTTGATATCGGGCGGATCTCTTGTCATCCGAGTGTAGCGTTTCTTGATTTCCGTCTCGATCAATGGATAAAGAACTTCGCGATGTTTATGAAACCATTCGTATGTGATAACACATCGTTCAACATCTCTGAGGCTCACATATCTAAATGAATAATAACGAAAAATGTCAATGTTAAAGGAAGTAAAAATAAGGAAATTGCTTCTCATTTTTAACTAAAAATTAAAATTACTATACCATCATAGCATAATACAAATAATAAATTGGAATAAAAAAAAATTTGATTTGTATTAAAAAACAATGAAATTTTTCGACTTTCGAATTATTCAAAACAGATTAATTTCATTTTTCCCATCCAATACATTTGACATTTATTTCAAAAAAAAAGTAATACTTTTTTTGACTGCAATTTGCCTGCTATTTGAGTTTGTTTCAGCCATTTCTGTTTCCATAAAAAACTGTATCATAATATTGAATCAGACATAAAATATGAACAATGATATTGTTGGCAGTCAAGGTTACAGCTAAAGAATGAAGATTCAGAATATGCTAGATCATGAATACGCTAGGGGTGTGCCAACCTCAGGCCAAATGCGACCCACAAGGGAAATTTGTGCGGCCCACAGTGAGGTGCTAATTTTGAATAATGTGCGACCCGCGAAACGAGTTTTTAATGCACTAGAGTCTGAGCAAAGATAGAAAAAAATATGTATTACACGAACCTGCACTCATCTTGTCTGCTTCTCATGTAATTTTGAGCTTCACAGAATACAGCGTTCACCAATCGTATAGTTTCACGATCAATTTCGAGTTTTTCCGCCAATTTCCTTGTCATTTGTTGAATATATATTCTTTCTGCTTCATCACTCAGTTGTCCAAAGTCCCAGACAAATGGTTGCATACTTGGTGGTAAAGCTACTACTCTATATACTAAGGTTCTCATAGGTATATCACCAAACAGATGTGTAGTTTCGCTGGTTCTGATTCTGTATCCCAGACCTGAATCTTCAAGCTTTCGAATTGCTTCTTTCGACAATTGTTTATACGGATTACAAGCTGCAACAAGTTGCAATTGTAATTTCTGAAACGAATTTCCATCTATTGTCAGGTCGCACATGACTTCTTTTATCGCGTAAATAGCTTCTGTTGTATTTGCTTCATCATAAAAAAGAATCGTACTTAATTTATGATTTGCTTTATTGTCATCTGCAATGTGGCTTGCTTTACGGACACTGCTATAAATATCAGCAACGGATATACCGCCATGAATCTTCAAAGTGATCATATTCCTGATTTGATTGTGAAATGGACCGGCTTTTAAACGACTCATAAATTCGACCATTCTTGTTTTTCCACATCCAGTTTCTCCCATGATAATGACAGGTATGCGACAACGGAATCTCATGTAGATCGCCAAAATCTTCAACACGTTATCTGTCGTTAACTCGTATGTCGGGTCTGGATCAAAAAGATCTTCAATTCCCATAACTTGGCATAAAACTCTAAGTTTCCGCTCACGAGTAAACGTATCAAAATTCAGATCCAATGATACTCTTTGTAATTTTAAGCCATTGACAAGTTGCTTAGAGATAATAGCAGGTTCTACAATTTCCCCGTTTCTGTCGAGTAAATCTCCTTCGTCGCTGATATTAACATTAATAAACGTCATGGTTGCACCATCTTCGTTGAAAAAAAGATACGGATGAGTAGATTCTTCCCATTTTCGTCGGAATTGGTAAATCTGTAAACCATCGGCTACGTCTTTATCGCTTTTATCAAAATCCGCAGAACTTTCATCGGAGATATTGAGAGAGGGTGTAGCAAAGTCCTGTGACATTCTTATCATGAAACGAACAGCGAACGCTTTTAAACCTTGAAGTTCTTGACCAACAATAGACTTGTCACAGAAAATGGAATTTTCACAATTTTGAAGTTGTACATTGAGGAAGCTTGCAAAATGTCTCAGCTGTGCCCATGATGGATTATACATGCAGCAGTGCTTGAGCAGGACACCAGTTAATTCCTTTGGTGTTCCTAAAATGAACATGAATAAATACAGCTCAAATCAGCGTTAGAATTACGCTCGACATCGCACCCCTGATTACCCTACGTGGGTTCGCAGGTTCAAATCTTATGGATGATAATTATGTGCGAAAGGATTACCGGACCACTGGTTGGTTACGGCTTCTTACACCCACAAGTCCATGCATCTGAGATAAAAAAACTGCTAACTAATCCCATACTTGACATGGATAGGTAACCGGATGAGAGGCCGTGATTGGCCAGATGATTATGCCGTCGCATCGCTTTCATCTTCGCCGGCAGAAGATATCTCTAGATAACCTATCTGCCATTATGTGCCAAAATGAAGCATGCCGGTAAATATTTCACAGGCAAATTTCTAACCAAAATTACTACAGCCTAATTATTGTACTTTTATGTTTTTCTATCCAAAGATAGCATTTTTCTGAAGCTAAAAGCAAAATTACCTGTTGAACGTTGATAAACAAAAGCATCCAAGTCTTTTCCGTCATCATAATGCATTAGATACTGGTACGGACGTTGAAAAGTATCGGAATGAAATTCCTTCTCATCCATACCAAGATATTCCTCATTTTTATTTTTCTGAGTTTCTTCAAAAACTTCTCTCGGAGAAAAACATTTGATACTCGGAAGTAAATTTAAAATATGTCTTGGGGAGTAGCGAGCCTGAATATAGAAAAGTATAGAATTTTAAATAAAGTTAATTTAAAATAGCTATCAATCAACATAGACTTCTTGATGGAACATGGGTAAATATGAAAACAAATTCAAGAAATACACCAATACATGCATTTGTAATATTGCATATCAATAATGAGATTGTATAAAAAAGATGCACATCTTTAAATGCAAAAAACGAGAATATCGGTCAGAGAGCGAAGACTTATCGATCGAAACTGCGGTTTCGATTCATGACTCTATAGTGACACCACGTGTCCCATCACTAATTAATTAATAACTCGCTAATTATACGACAGAATCCAAAATCAATAGGCTTCTGGTCTGAGGTATGATGAATGCACATGCAAAATTTGGAGCAGATTCAACCACGGCTTCGTGAGATATTGCGTGCATCTAACAGACAAACAGACAGACAAATACCTATCAACATACTTACCGAACTAAAGATCGATAAGTAATTAACAAAATTGTAGACTTGATATTATCTTACCCCACGTTGATGTCCACAATCAGTCATTTCCAACATGTATAGATGATTATAATGACGTTTCCAAACTTTACCATGACTATCTTGAATACTTCCCAGAACAAATAGGTTGAAAGCAAAGGTCTCGATTCCTTGTTGCACCTGGAATATGAAATTTTTATTTAAAATAAAATAGTTTTGACTATTTTGATTGATTGAAGTGACATGTGCCTAACTTCTACTCCTTTCTCTCTACCTATGCCTGCACAACGTACGGCCTGTGATGATGAGGTGAGCAAAAAATACTCATGCATACAAAAATATAAGCGGTCGGTGCTAAAATACAATCATTAGTTAATTTTAGATAAATTGATCAAAATGTTCAAATCACTAATTCAAATAACAAGTTGGTCACTTTCGTATAAATTATCTAAGTACTTCCACCCCTCCTTATGATTCTGGCACTACGATTCATTGTTACATCATAATAACTCTTGCGCTGTTAGGGGAAAATGTATGGTAGGGCATGCAACAGTAATGTTTTGTTCCATCATTTTTTTTAAAAACGGAAAAATAAATAAAACAAAAAATTCAAGATTTAATGTTTATAAGAAGCTCGTCGTCGTCAAAAGACCATGCGTTACAATGTTTATATGATATATTATGAAAAATATGGCATGATATAAGTAAATAATATGATGACAATAAGGCCCATGAACGATTGTTTTTGTGTATTGTGGCCCTTTCATTTATTTTACTTGTGCGGGCCTGTGTTTGTGGAGACATATGCATCGGCTGCTGGAATACTATAGCAGGAATCAAAATTGCTTTATCAAGCGGTTGAAAGATTTTGTATCGCAATTTCACAAATTTGTCAAAAGAAGGTTACAAAATAAAATTTGTGACAGGATGATGAAAGACTGCAACTACCAACGTTAAAATGAATCGAAAGCAGCAACAACCAATTAAATTACAGCAATTATTGTTGTCTGATGCGTAAACCAATATCGATACTCCAGTAGTATGTGTACCAATATGAAGTAACTAATTCAAGTTGTGTAAATAGAACTAAAATAAGGAAAATATGAATAAAACTATGGTCTAACGCTAACCTGGTACACACACTACTCCAATATCTACATTAATCTGTAAGATATATTCCACTATTGTCAGGTCTTATTTAATAAGCAAATTTTTCAAAACGATTGAACTAAAACAAAAAAATCCTTACAGCGGGAGTTAGATCAAGATGTATGAGCATTGTATCGTTGTTGCAAGATTCATTTTTATTCCGACGATTTAATCTTTCAATAACATAATCTGTGCTGAGATTTTTCTCCAACAAACGAATCGTCACATGATGAAATGTCATTAGTAGTGGCGAAAGATGTTCATCAAGTGCCTCTGATAAACGCTTCACATGAAGACTCTTACCTAAATAAAATGTTATTTATCAAATCAGATAAGGAACTAACATACAAGAATTGTTAGCATAATATTCCCGACCAAAAAGATAGAAAGCCAGATAACAATTTCGACTGCCAAGCACATCATTCAACTTTGCTAGTTGCCTCAGTTAGCTATAACACTAGTCAATTCAGTTTCATTCATTCATCATTCATTTGTGATGTAACAATATGTTAATTAAAAGATTTTTCTGGTTAATTTTCTGATGAAACAACACCAAATGCGATTTTTTGATTACTCTCCGAATGCGACGTGGGCCACAGACAATGAGTAAAACTGCCTGCTCTCTCTTAAGCCTAAACTGTTTTCTATCCATTCATTCTAACACATATCAACCCCCTCTGTCATATCGCAAAAGCATTGCGCAATGTTGTAGACTTACCAACGCCAGATCGTGTTGACGAAACAACTTTAACCATGGAATGTTTTTTATCAACACAAGCTGCGCTGTTCATCAAATTATCATCATTAACTTTCAAATGATGTTCAAGATACAAAGATATATCAGCACTTGCACTGATCCATTTCCCTTCCACCAAGTACTAGAATTAAAATATTCGTGATTCAATACGTAATAACACAATAAATAAAGCAGCAAAATTAGAAAATGCTAACTTTGTGGAATAAGATAATTAAAACGAATCTTGAGGCAAATTTTACGGCAAAAATAGAAATCTTGATATGGAAGGCACATACAAATGACATACTAGAACAGAATATTTTGATTGGTCACCAATCAACCGAGAAATCAGTATATATCAGGATCTATGACTTTTCCGCAATTTCAAGATTTCTTACCACTTTGAGTTAATAACACTGATACCTCGATAGACGATCATAATTCGTTCAGGAATAGTGTTGGTAACGAGTCGTTTGACTACCGAGGTATTAGTATTACTGTATAATATTTTAATTAACTGCCAACCAGAGTTATAACTTCAAAGTATACCTTGTCAAAGCAAGTAGTCAAGTAATGCTGCTGTTTAGTCAATAATATGACAAGTTGATAATTTTGATTTGTTCTCACGTCCTGAGAAAGTTGATTGAAGATTTTCTCTGTTGAGGCCGATACATTAAAACTCAACTTGTCAGCAAATGCGAGAATGAAAAGTAGTTGTCCTGAATTCAAATATTCACATATATATATATATACAACAATATTTGAAATAAAAAGAGAACAATGCTCAAATATATGGACACAAAGTTGTTACCAGAACAGGGGTCGGCAAGGTCTTTGGACCAGGGGCCACAAATTCCGTCCACCTAGACTTGAGGGCCATGTAAGTGTGATATAAAAAGTTAGATTGTGTGCACAATATTACCAGTGTTACAAAAGTAAAAGTGAAAAAAGAAACTAAATTTATTTACAATCTCAACTAATTCCTCAAGCTATTTTTCAGCTAAAACATCAAAATTTGGTTTCAGTTTGGTTGTGGCAGCATCAACCAGGCCAGATTGAATTACATAGCAAGCCGGATTTGGCCCGCAAGCCGTAATTTAACCATGTCATTATTCAAAGAATACAGTTATGTATTGTACGTTTAGCATTGTTCACCGAACCAATCACACCCTTCACTGGCCATGGCCAGTTGTTCAAGCAACTATAATAATTAATCAGAACACTCTAATCACTAATAGCTATGGTTACAATTAGCTAAGAATGTCTTTTTATTATAGAATTGTGCCTGTAATACATTTCGATTATGAATAAATATATTCTACATGGGAATATTCCAATGGTAAAATTAAACTGTTAAAATATCAAGCCGTAATTTCAATCATAATCATTTCTAGTTTTTCAATCATAATCATCTCTAGTTTTTTTGATAAATTTATTTTTGTAATATAACAAACTATCTGATTTTACCAATATTTTCGCAATGGCACATTGCTCTTCTCATAAAGCGTTCGACATCGTCTGCCGTTGTGTCTTCTGAACACAGAAGAACTTCAGATCTTGTTGGTAACGGCTGCTCTTTATTATACATATACAATGACAATGTTGTAGGAAGAATTTCATGTTCTGGACAGACAATAAGATTTGGTCTTCCTTTATGCAAGGGTTGCATTAATTCTCTGTGAACCAAAAATTGACTTGCTCCATCATGTAAATATCGCAGAAATCTTCCAAAATGTTCGATGCTGAGAGAGTCTTGTAGAGTAATGACCTGAAACACAGAAAATTAAAAAATTTAAATAATCAAAATAGAGAATTGTGTCAAAACATTTGAAAAATTTAATGTAAAGTACTATTGCACATGCAAAAACATAGACGTAACATCAGCAAGTATTAAAGACATTTCAGTGGTACTAAGAGATTTACAAGAATGAATTTGCCATTCCACAAATTAGGGTTTTCATATAAAATACATACGAGGTGTGGCTAAAATGAAACGGGATTGTCGTCACAGATTGCGCAACATGATTTACCACCGGTAATCAGCATTACCGATGGTTAATGGTGTTGCGCAATCTGTGACATCAGTCCCGTTTCATTTTAGCCGCACCTCGTATACTAGGTTCAGCAAAACAATTTTATTCGATATAGTAAATTTTTTAATTTAGAAATATTTATACAATTTTTAATTTTTATTTCAATAGTAGAAATTGTAAGCCGTCAGACAAGCAGATCAAAACATACAATATCTCAACTGATAACAAACAACACAGAGAAACCAATATATTCTAAATTCCACATTCGAAACTATTTTGTCAGAATGTGTTCAAAATTGTGAAATATTTCGCTTTGGTCATTCCTGACTATAGATGAAAACAACATCTACGTACTCTTGTCTCGTCATGATAACCCGTACAAATAGTGTTGATAGAGTCAATCAATGCATTTGACGATCGACCAACGTCGTCATGTATTTGTTCTTGCAATCTATCAATAACATCTTTCAGAGTATTCTCAGATCGATTATAAAGAACTGAAGTTATCACTCGAGTCTGTTTCTCCTGATGAGTGAATCCTATGAGTAGGAAAGTGAGTATATATATGAACTCGGGAAAAAAAAAGAAAATGGAAAATACATGTTTGGAACAGAAAAGGCTTAAACATGGTAAAGGTAAATATGATTATTATCAAAATTTTCAGCAAATCTTTTTTTCTTCGTGAATGTTTAAAACACAAGAATTACAAATAAAAAGTGAATAAAAAAGTTTCTCTTTCAGGTAAACTTATATTTTAAAATTTTTCAAAAAATTCTGTTCCTTTTATTGAAAAAATAATTAGAATTCAAAATGCTTCGAGACTTATGTTGGCCGACATTTCAAGTGTCTTTAAATAATCGCACATTAAACTTCTAATTATCATGTTTCAATTACAAAGATAGTTAAGTTCGGCAAGTAAATGACACATATCTGACATGTGATTTTACTGACGCTACTTACTACAAAACAAATGTCATACAAAGAGCCATTGTTATGACATACATGCGTGCACAGATAATAATAAATTTATCATCAAGTTTTTATGCATCAAAAGTGAGGTCCTTTGAGGGCCACAAAAGGCAGTTTGCCAGCTACTGTCATAGAATATTATTGATCACAGCATTTTCGCCATAAGTAATATTCCAGCTTTCAGATTATCTGTTTAATCTTTGATTATGTTAGTTATGTGGAAAACAAAAAACACCATTACCTGCACTTTGATCAAATTTATCAGAAAGTTCTTTGATCATGTCGCCTTCAAATGTGTTCAACAAAGCCCAGTTCAAGCAATTAGTAATATCTTCATAACCTTCAGCTTCCACAGCTGCCTTTGCAATAATCTCCTCCAACTGGTCTTCATCAACTAGTTTTCGAACAGCACGATTTTTTTCTTCAATTACATCTCTTTTTGGAACTGATGCCCCGGTATCAGATGCTAATAAAACATTAACAAATGATTGATTGTTAATGGCAGATGTGTTTTTCTATAAAAAATATTTATATGAAACTTCCTCTGAATGGGGATCTGTTCAAGCAGATACTACCAGATAACACGTAGTTTGAAAGGACCATAATTTTTCGGTTCGACATTAACTAACTAATTGATTACACCAAGGAAGAGATAATAGGCATGAGATGTTGACCAGCGATGACATCACTGTTAAGTCTGATTTCACTGATTTTTTTTATCTCTGGGTGATTCAAGTTTTAATCTTGTTTCGGCAGCTTTACTTAGATAGCGATATATATTTTTCATATATATCTTCGAGGAAGATAAATTGATGATAATAGGTTTACTTATATGCTGAACTTTGGCTCTTTGTCTGTAATTTACGGATTTAAGAAATTTGTTTGCTGTTAAGTTGGCAAATTATGAATTATGTAAAGTTGTAAGTATTGACCAAGATCACTCAGTTTAGAAAAAAGACAGTCAATTTCGTGCTACGCAAATATTCCTACATCTCGCGCATGAACGAGAATTCCAAAATGGAAATTTTTACCATTAAATTGATACACTTCCCCAGAATAGGTTGAATTTGGCACGATGTTTGTAACACGTTTTGTCAATAAATGGAAAATAATGTTTTAATGAAATACTTGAACATCATATTGCACATTACACATATCAAAATGAATGAATACCAAAATAATATAATGTGCTAAAATAGACGCTTGAAGAATTAATTTATTAACAGCGAAGGTGTGGAAGAAAATATTACAAATAAGTAGAACAGTTGAATTTACACAAATTGAATTTGAAATAAAAAAGTAATACCAATGGCCTTACATTTCTGCTTGTCGTATTCCTCACATAATTTTTCGATCAGTTTATCATCATATTCATGTAATAGCATCCAGTCACCACATCCTTCCAGATCTTCATATCCGACTGCTTCTACTGCTGCTTTTGCGACATTTTCTGATATAGATTCATCTCGAAGCAATAAATTCACCGCTTTATCTTTTGCTTCTGATTCAGGGTTGACGTTTTCGTTTTCTAAATTTAATATTTCTGAAGTTGACAGTGAAGCTGACTTATTATTATGAATGATGAAGAATTTTCACAGGAATTTGGTCAAAGCACAACCACATGAGCTCATACAGAAGGAAAGAAAACTCACTCGCTCAAAGGAAAACAACTGAAACACCTATAGCTTAGGTTTATGGTCATGCATTGTGCCACCAAATGTCAATTAACATTGGGAAGTGTTAATAAGAACATGGTGTCATTGGTCCACTAATTATCCTGCGCGCGTTTGCATGTTCAAATCCTGCAAGGAATATTGTGTGCAAGAGGATTGCTGGACTCCTTGTCGCCGTAGGGTGATTACGAACGAACCCGCTGGTCAAAATCAAAGTTTCGTAACTTCAAATTCAATATAACTGTCAATTGGGAAATGGCGTCCCACGAAACCAACTATCTTTCCTCGCTCTATGTCTTTGCTCATGTATACTTATAACGCAAGGATGCTGTTGCAAGAATAAAGGTGACTATTCTATTTTATTTACAAGTCTTGCTGTACACAAACACAAATGCATTTCTGTAACGTTTCATTTGACTGTCTGAAGAATTCGAAACTCAGTCAGTTGAAACGTTACAGAAATACATTTGTTTTCAACTAAATTTGTATTTAATATTACACAATTCATTTTTACCTTCCGTTTCCATATTTTCTTCTTGATTTTCTTGTTGACTAGTTACTTCATCATCTCGAATTTTTGTTGCTTCGTCAAGCAATTCGCAAACCTTTTTTATCGACAAACCAGTCGCAACACTGGATAATAGTGTAGATACCTGAATATGTTCCAAAAAAATGTGGGAAAATGTTAAAATATCCAGGTGAAAAAATAGACATTAAAGATTATCAAACTATACAACTAGGGTGGTTTTATGCAAACACTACACTGTGATACTGATATGGAACACTTGGAGAGAGAAAAAAGCATGAATCAAATTACCAAATTATTATTGGACTAGATAATTCTGTAAACGAGAATATCGGTCAGAGACCAAAGACCTATCGATCGAAAGTTAGGGGATCCCCCAAAACAGTGCTCTTACTCCATAGTGACACCTTGTGTCCCATCACTAATTAATTAATAACTCGCTAATTATACGACATAATTCATCCAAAATCAATAGGCTTCTGGTACGACATATGATGAATGCACATGCAAAATCTGGAGCAGATTCAATCTCGCTTTCGTGAGATATCGCGTGCATCTAACAGACAAACAGACAGACAAATAAACAGACAGACAAATACCTATCAACATACTTACCGATTAAAATCGATAAGAATGACTATAGTTTGATTTTGTTTCCACTTTTGTAAGTAACAATATTAGAAATAACAATATCGCATTTTTCTGAATAAATGAAAAAATATCCTGGCATAGCAGGTTCGGAACATCATGGCTTGATTCAGCCATTAGGCAAGCCCACCCAACCCCTATATAAAGCCGATGTATTTAATTAGTAAACAAATGGGACATGTGTGGGATGAAAAATTTTCGAGACACCCATATCAAGAAATGCAGAATAAATTTAGTAGGACATATGCTGAAATTGAAAGGTATTTGTCCTTCTAAGTCCGAGAGACTTTATATTAAAAAGGCAACTAATACATAGCCTAGCCCTAGTTGATAGCAAAATTGGAAATGACTTTGATTTTTAAATTATTAATCCCTTTTTACCTGATCGGGAAGAGTGCGATTAATTCTGCAGAGAGCAAGTTCATGGCAAAGGTAGATAATTTGTTGAATATTGAATTCGTTTAGAAAATAATGTTCCATTCTCTTTGCATTGATGTGATGGTTCCACCTGCAATGATTGACGAAAAATTCACTGTAAATACATGAGCATTTTTGTCCACCTAAACCAGTGGTCAGAAAAATGCGGCCTGTGTGCCAAATGCAGCCTGACAACAAGTTTTTTATGACCCTCGAGCGACTTCACTCGTAATACATAAAAACAAAAAGTGCTCAAAATATAATATTATCTGTCTACAGATGTATGTCGTAACAATGACTGTTGTATGGCATGTTTTGTAGTGATTAGCGTAAAAGAAAGCACATCTTAGCTCAGTTCAGTCTTTTACTTGCCGAATGTTACTACCGTTACTTTGGTATGTGCCATAAATTGAAGTTTAATGTGGCGATTGTTGGAAATTAAATTGGCCTGTGCTACTGGAAATGTGTTCATTCTGCCCAGTAGACCAACCACTGACATGAACATTAATAACGTGGATGAATGTTTGACATAGCCCGTCACTCTCGATGATAATTTAAAGAAATTTGATCGCATTATGTGAGGGCGGATAAATGTATGATAACAGAAATTGATAGTTCGTATATCGTATTTGAGAGACCATAAGGCGCACACACACTTTTTGTTCTCAAAAAACGACTGAGTGCCATATAAGCTGGTGCGCTTATGCATGGATCAGATAGTGCTTTATGCTTTATTTCCTACACTTAAAACCAGTATCAGTACCGGTCGCGTCTTATAGCCCTTATGTATAGAAAAAACCCTAAACTAAGCAAATTATTGACAAGGCGCCGTATACCCCAGTGCTCATTATGACCGGTAAATTACGGTACTCAAAATTAATTTGCCACACAATTAGGAACAACGGCCAAAATATAACTTCTTTGAAATTCAGAAATAATTTCAATCTTACAATTCCCTTTAATCCGCAATGATATAAAAATAAAAACTTGAAACTCGATATAAAGCAATACCTTTCAAGTGATTCATTCAAAATATTTGACAGCTTGCTCAAATCTATGAGTGATCCTGTACCACTGAGTGGTTGAGCATCATCAGCGAATTTTACTTGAATTAGAAGGTTGTTTGTATTGCTTGTCACATCATTACATCTAAAAGAAAAAATATAAAAATGCATACATAAGATATGATGTACATATCTATATCGAAGGAAAGGAAAGTTGATAAGGTGGTTATTAAGTAGATATTGATATAATGGTATGACAAAAAACCTAAGAATATAATAGAAATAAAAATTTAAAAATAAAAGGTGTGCTAGCTATGATATTATATACCCAAAACAGGGACGTCTAAACAAAATTAAAATTGAAAAAAATTCAGTCAAGGTTAGAGTGGAATCACAAATCGCCACCAATGTAGCCCTAAATTAGTATATATTTCTTTTTTTCACATTTATATTTAGTAGAGAGACATAAAAGTTAAATAGTGTGAAAATGTGTGTAAATAAATTGGTTATATTTAACACAGTCAAAAAACAGTGGAGAATACACAGCTGAAGTTACTGAATAATAATTTCTAAGAGAAGTTTCAGTTCTCCACTCAACACAAGTTTCTACATAGACATTCCCTCCTATTCAAAGCACTAAGAAGTAGTTAAAGAGAGAGAGGCAATTTTTCATAACAAGAAGAATAGCAACAACAACAAAACGAGAATATCGGTTGGAAACCGAAGACTTATCGATCGATAGTTAGGGGATCCCCCAAAACAGAAACTGCAGTTTCGATTCATCCGCTCTTGTAACTTGCGCACTGCGCATCGCACACACACACTCGACAGGTCTCAAAATTCTCTCGCTTTACAAAAATCTAGATCACTATATCAATAATTGATTGATAACTCGCTAATTATACGACATAATTCGCCCAAATTCAATAGGCTTCTGGTCCGAGATAAGATGAATGCTCACGCAAAATCTGGAGCAGATTCAATCTCGCTTTCGTGAGATATCGCGTGCATCTAACAGACAAACAGACATACATACAGACATACCAAATACCTTACCGATTAAAATCGATAAGTAATGATCCATAGGTCCACTTTGTGTCAAATAAAAAGTAAGCAAGAAATAACTCACCAACCAAAAATATTAATCAGAGTAGCCGCTAATTTTACTTACGTTATAACTGCCGACCAATTGTTAAACAGCATACAGCCAGATGAAACCAACTTGACGTAAGTACCAGCAAGTGTCTGTACTGCAGTTAATACTTCAACAAATTGTGTGACGTCTGTTTGTCCCATCTCAGCTTCTCCAGCAATCAACATCAATTTGGATTGTAAATCACAAAGAGCTTCAAGCTGGAAAACGTCTTTTTTGTCTAAAAAATAGCAATAAAAGTCTTTTTATTCATGATGACAATAACCACAATACACGACAGGCAGTGGTTCCCAACCATTTTTTTTGAACGAAGCAAATTTTGTAAAAATTAAATTTCGTCAAACCTCGCAACCCAAGGATATGCTCAAACACTAAAGGACATGGGTTGCTTCTATACCCACATAATTAAATTATTGATACAAAATATTATTTCCTTATTATTCATTTCATTGTTTCAAAATTATTATTTGTTCAGTATTGCTTCAGTATTTTTACGCTGTGATAATTTCCACATATACAATTACTATTGAGTAACACTTCAATACCAAATACAAAAAAAAAAAATTTACCAGAAAATAAAATCAACTTTCCGGTTTTAGTTGAAAAAACGAATGACCCCAAAAGAATTTTCAGCCAACACAACTTTGGATTCGTGACCCAAAGTCCAGTGGTAGCATCTATCTCCTTTACTTGTATTTTTAACAAAGTTACCTACCTCTGTCAGTTTTATCAGGTAAGATGAGATTGATACAATTTTTCACTGATGGTGATTCTTTTGCATTCAATCTACGTATTGTATATATTCCACGTTTGTTAATATCTTGAGCAAACGTCAAAGATTGTTTCTCAACTGATCCGTGGAAGTTTTCAATTCCTTGAAACCAAGCCAACTGACTACCAGTATCTTTCTAAAGTGGAAAATAATTCATTTTGAGGGTTCAGGGTCATCAACTAAGAACAGTGGTTTTTAAAACTCCAGACCCATGGCCCCTTTCAAAGAATCTTAACGAACCATGGCCCTCTGATTTTCCATAGAATAAACTTGTTTTACTTTCAATAACATGTTTCCATCATTTATTTTATTCATCACATTTATTAATAAAAAGCCAACAACTGGAAGTAAAAAAAATAAACGCATCACCGTCAAAAAATCAAACGATACGAATGGTGTCTGGTGAAGGTATTTGCTTGTGGCTTTAAAAAATGCTCTACGACCTTCTTGGGAGGCCGAGGGCCCAGTTTAGAGAAAACACCAACTCAGTTTGAAAATCTAAATAGTTCAACCTGGGGATGTGCAACCTGTGGCCCGCGGGCTAAATGCGGCCCACAGAGAAAAATTGTACAACCTGTGATGAAGTGACAAATTTTAGTAGTGTGCGGGGCGCAAAACACATTTTAAATTTAGTTTAATCTGGTACATGCGAGTAATTTCAATTCCAGAGCATATACCTGAATCCAATTATTATCTATGCCTATGGCGTTACAATGCCCCAACAGTTACCTTGTTCGAAGCTAGCCCAATTTTTTGTATTTGGCCCTTCTGTATTAGAGGTTGCACACCTCGAATTGTTGGTTTTGTCACTGAGTTTGAGAGGCAAAAAATCATGAATCTATTGATTCAAGTGACAGTGATAGCAAAAAACAAATGCAGACGCAATTCGTTCCAATTGGGTTAAAATATTAACATGTATCATATCAGAAATATTCAAGTCATCGATTTACAAATTAAAAAAACAGAGAAGAAGGCTATCTTACCCATTTGTCCATCAGTTTAGCATCCCCATTTCTATTCTTCCAAACAGCTCTACATTTATCCAATAAAACGTTCAATCCAGCTTCTTCATCAAGTTCAAATATCAATGGAGCAAAGCCCATAACAGCACTCAATAAACAGGAAACAATGTCGACTTCATATGGAGTTTCACCAGCCGATATCATTGCAAGATCACACATTACTTTTACTTCGCTTATATCTGAAAATAACATAAGGTGTTATTCCAAACTCATGACAAAAAAAGAAGGGAAAAATATAACAGTAAAAATCTTTAACCAATCAGGACTTGCTTCATAGTTTCAGTAACTCTTAAATGGTCGCATTTTTACCAAGAGATGAGTCTCCAACTTTCACGAGTTATACATACATTATAGAGGAATTCGAATGTATTCTCGGAAATTTGTTCGTTGATGGTATGTATGTAAAAGGCAAAAATAGGAAATCTTTTCAACATGAGCGGGCAGCCTTCTGATACAAACAAACATTTCCAACGAAAAACGTAAGATTTTTTTTTTTTTGAATGTGATGCTTTAACTGCTGAAGTATGTAAAGAGTTAATCAATCAGGAAGTGGAATCATGAATCGTTTTGTTATTATGTTGTTGTTGTTGTTGTTCTTTTCCATCTTAATTTCCTTTTTAGTATTTTTCCTTCATGAAAAAATCGTTTTTATTTTTAATAATTGGATTAATTGCTTTGAAGTTTTTAGTGGTTGAAGATTATTGTTGTCACTAGAAGGCTATTACTCTTATTCGTTTCTAAATTTCCTATTAATCATATAAGATTTGATATTTGACCCAAAATTTCGCTGTTCAATTTGTGTACTGGAAGGTCGAAAATATTTCCATACCGCACAGTAGACTAGGTACGATTAGTTACTTCCTGTCCATATATTTGAGCATTGCTCTCTAGTTTTTAATAGCAAGGAACGAAAAGTTTAATAATATTCAAATATTATTTACAACTCTGGGTGAGGTAGTCAGCACATGGGTTTAAAACCGACGCTAACATACTTAGGTATGATCCACAGCCCCATTCTAAAGACTTTTAACACTCTATGGCCCCCAATTCTTCAAAAAGAAAAAAACTGATTTTGTTACAACAGTTTTCAATTACCGTAGTTATTTCGTTCATCATATTAACAAAAAAAGCCAACAAACGAGATTAAAAGAACGAATACATTACAGTCAAAGAATTAAATAAATCACCGTTATTTTACTTATGGTCACAATTAATTTTACGTTGTCAATGTCAATGTAGATTATACCTAGCGATGGCATTTGCTTGTGGCTCCACTGAAGGGTTCAAGGGAGAAAGTTGGAGAAACTCTGCACTAGTATATAATGTTAACACTCACCATTCATCTTTTCTTTCAGCCAGGTAATGAGTTCCTTTTCTTTGATGAAATTTCTGAGTACATCAACATCTGATTTCGGAATTTGGCAAACAAATGGTATTTCTTGTTCATCAGCCAGTTCTTCTAATGTTGCTGTTTTGTTTTCAAGACTTGTCTAAGAGAGGAAAATTTTGACAGAAACGAACATGAAATACACTATAAGTAATCAATGTTAATATACCTCCTTTTTGCTGCAAAATGAATTTTTCTCATACCTTTTGCTTTTCAATAGCAGAGAAGTCACCGTTGAGCTTCAATTCCGTTTTCAAATGAAGTAAAACGTCAATAGTTTCTTTTGCTTTTTCAAGTTGAAAATAATTACACATCTGACGAGTTCGAAGTTCCATATATCCAACATCAGAATATTGGACTTCTTCTTCTGATTCTGAAGCAGCATCACTGTCATCCTATGTAAAACATTTCAATCATTGCATATAAATTTTTAATAAATTTGATTAAATTCTTTCGAGTGAATTAGCACAGAACAGCGTTTCTAAAACTGTGTTCCGCGGAGCACAAGCTTCTTCGGAGTGTTCCGCGAGATAAAGATTGAAACTGGACTAAATTGGTCACCATGGCGATCTCGGTCATACTTCGGCGCCTCTGGGTTGTGAATTTGTCCCCCAACTGGCACAAAGAGGCGGACAGGCCAGAACGTTGGCATAGAACAACTAGGGATTGGAAAGCTATATAAGCAAAAATATTGGTAATCTATTTCAATTGGGGCTTTCAAGCATAATTGCAAACATAGATTTGTTTTCATATTTTTAGTGTTATTTGTCAATGTTTGGTTGTTTCCAAAATTTAATTATAACTCAGACATGATTTTATCAGCGGAATTGGTATATGGTCGAAAGTATGTTCCCAGTGCTGTCATTTTTAAAAATAATTATTAGTATCAAAACTAACCTGTTCACTTTCCACATCTGATAAATCAATTTCACTTTCTACCTCTGAACTTTTTTCGCTTTCACTTTTCCATGAATCGTTATCAGAATCGGAATCACTTTCAGATTTGTTTTCGTCTCCATCGTCCGACATCTTTTCTTCCTCGCTTGTTTTGGGTTCTTCTTCAACTTGCATAGGTGATTCTTTTGGTTCTTGCGTTTTTGGTGGCTCTATTACAAAAAATAACATCAATAAAATTGTTTGAAAATTTGTTGAAAAAACTCCAAATAACACCAAATTAAGAGACCGAAAAAATAACATTGAACATTTGTTAATCGTTGTTTTCGGCGGCGTTAAAAGTGACGAATGCGTTTAAGAGGCACTCCAAATAATATCAAATTACTAGACGGAAATAAATGAAAATGAATTTTTTGTGATTGCCTTTTCACTTATCTGCTGTCATTTGTTTCAAGTTCGGCACTACACACTCTTTTACGCAGAAAATGCAGTGAATCTTATTATTGAAGGTAATAGTATAAATATATATTACTCAATGAGATGTTCATAAAATTTGGTTAACATATTCCAGAAAACAATATTTGATAAATTTATCGATTGCACATGCAAGACAATTAGGTTGTATATTTTGTTACAAAACATGTTAGCTTTGTGCATATCAAAGACTGCTTGTCCAGTGTCCTATTCAGGGATGGAAACTGTGTGGTAAAATTATCCAGATATAGAAAAATTGGATTTTTTTTGTAAAAATTTTCATTTAGCTGTGATTATCATTTAACACATATGATGTAGCCGCATCCACATGTGCATCACATGCAGGAAGCAAATACAGATACCATCAGGTGCTGTATAGTAAATATGTAAACAAAGAGTTTAGCTTTAGCATGTGAATTATAAACATGACGAAAGAATCAATATAATTAGAGTGTGACTCCGATCCGGAGCTTAACTGACAAACAGAGAAACAAAGTTACACAATTTTTATGCTCAACTTATTGGGCGATATGGAAATAAAAAATTTAGTGCTAAAAATTGTCCTAGTCTTATTCAACAGGTCGACTTATAAAACGGGAAAATACAGTATTTATTTAAGAAATTGCAGCAAAAATATTTCATTCATTCACCAAAATAGAAATAATTTGCATGGCAGAAATTCAAAACCCCAATCACTCCAATATACGCATCCTTACCTTCAGGTTTTTCTTCTTTCTTCGAAACCAACTCATAATAATCATATAAAGTCTTGATTTCATTCTTAATCTCATCAGGTTCTCCATCACAACGACGAAACCATTCACTCGCTGTTTCCATTGGCAAATGACCTGATATAATATATTAACTGTGTCAAATTTTATTGGTTTCATTCAGTGTCTTGAAAATATTGTGTACCATTTGTCCTTCTTTTTCACAGTTGTACCACTTTTTGTTTCTAGGAATTGGTTTCAAATATACTTGAAAATATACTTCGAAAATTTAAATTAATACTAGTTTTTGAATTTTTTTTTAAATTGAAGTATGAGAGGGATATATTTCATCAAGTTAATCAATTATTTGTATGAAATTCCTGGCAGCCCCAACTTCAGCGCTATCTAATATGATAAGATTGGCTCTGTTGATCCACTTTCATTGGCAATCAAAATTATACGATTAGATCTTTTGTAACCAGGGCTAACAACACTCTACATTCGTTTTAGGAATTGTGGTCAAACATAACAGGAGAAATATACTTTTAAAAAGGTTTAACAGCTAACTACAGCACTCTTTGTCAAGAAACCAAATATTGCTTGGGAAACCTTTTTGTGTTTCCATTATGACATCACCTACTTGAAAGATTCAACTTGAGTCCATAACCTATCACCGATCCCTAATAAAAACTTTCCTATTCAGCGTTAGAAATATACTCAACATTATACTCCTCATTGTATGTGTGACATAATTTCAAATCCTGGGGATTATCATACATAATACTGTTATTAATGTTGAACTCCTTGAAGTCACATAGAAGTGAAAAGATATTGCAAATGCGCTAATTGTTATTCAAACTACACCTCACAAAACACAATAAAATACCTTTAGCATACCTGAATCCATATCCTGCACCAATGTTGATAAGTCATTTCTGGTCGGCTTCCATATTTCATCTAATACTTGCGTCCATTTTACAATCCACAATCCAGAGTCACCCAGATCAAAATTTGAGTCTGTGCTATAACTCTTAGCCTCGACAGCACTCTGATGCCAGATTTCATGGAAAACTTTACTATCCTAAAGAGTGAATTGCATTGTGAAAATATGCCTTTTTTAAAAAAAAAATGAAAAATCCAATTTCGACCTTCTTTGGACAAAATAAACTTCGTCTCAACCGATTGGAATGATTTACTATTATGTCAGCCCTAGTATTGTCTTAACTAAAATGAACATCAACTCAAAATAAAATTGAGGGAATCTTTTTACCAGTATAATATAGCACCAGTACCTTGATAAAGTCGATGATCTGAAACTGTTTCAAAACAGAAGTTGTTAGATTGAAGAAAGAAGTTGCTTGTTTGTTTCCAGTTTGATTAAGTGAATCAGATGATATACTTGATAATGTTTCTTCATCAAAATTTTTGCTCAGTTTTTGTCGTAGTTCAGTCACATTTGCCCTTAGTTCCCCACCTTTTGATGACAATAAAAAACAGTTAAATAGCAGAGTAATAATATAAATAGTAGCATTGTTTGAGTGAATCTGCAATCGTAAAATTTCACTCAGCTAATAAATGTCAAGGTACAATACTAATCAATTGAAGCAATTGAATTCCAAAGCCACATCTGGAGTATAAGGTACCATATACTATAGTGAAATTCAGACAAACAATAAATTGAGACATCCAGTAGCCAAATGAAAATTGAGTTAAAAATGTGATTCGCAATATGACATGACAAGACAAAGTAACAAATGTCTTTAGACGGTTTTTGGACAGTAAATTGACAAACTCGAATTCGAGTAAATATTTTCTTTCTATGCAAGACTCAAACTAGAGTTAGTAATTGATTACTTGGATAAATATAGGCCTTAGAAGATGAGATTTGATCTATTTGATCATCTTTTATAGCGGCCCGGTGGTGGGCACATCATGCTAAGCATTGGGAAAACGCTTGCATCTCTGATTATCCTGTATCAGTTGACAGGTTCGAATCCAATGGGGAATAATTATTTAGAAGAGGGTTGCCGGATTTCTCATCACCGTAGTGTGGCTCATGTAAACGCTGGACGTTCACGACTTCCTCCACCATTAAATCCATGCATCTGCAGCAAATAACTAACTAATCCCATACATGATATGCTATATGATCAAGCCGTCTTATAATTTTTTTACCCCCCGGAATAAATATCAAAAATCCTATCCTATGCATGATACAGCTTGAGATGGGGTGAATAAAATAACTAGGATTTAAATCCATGACCGTACCTTCATCTAGCTTTGAACAAGCAGAAATGAATCCTCTGACGTGATCTTGTGCAGTTTCGAATGCTTTCAACTGAGTTTCTTGTTGATCAATCAGATGAGTCAAATAATTATCCATTTTGTCAACAGAACTCTCTTCATGCTGAAAAGAAAAGGAGGTTTTTAGGAAAAAGCAGGAAAACCGAAAATATACTGATGTACAGTGTGCCTACAAAGTCATTTTACTATTGTGCACCAATGATGTTAGAATGCTTCTTATTCATTCTAATATACAGGGTATCCACAATAACGGCCCGTTGATATTACCATATATCCTCGCATATAAGCCGGGTTTAAAACTTAAAAAAAGGGTTCCAAACTATGAGGCTGGCTTATACGCACATAACTCTGACCGACCGCACTAAAGGGTCGTCTTATATAAGCATAACTCGCACCCAAACAAAATGACATTATGTTAACTTAATTCCAAGTTCTCATGATAAGAGCGTGCACGCACACATGTGAATCACCGCTTGGTGCGCTATGACAGCAATAAAAGTCTGTGATTGGTTGTTATACACACGATCGCTTGCGTGTTTACGCTATGACAGCAATAACAGTCTGTGATTGGTTGGTCATACTAGTTATTGTCTGCATGTTTCGCTATGAGAGCACTGACAATCTGTGATTGGTCTGTGATTTAAAATCAGTTGGTGTACAAGACACCATTTTGGTGCCAAAATTACATCGTCTTTGAGGCACACTGACAGTGATTATCAACATCGAGGTTGCGATTACGAATATATAATTTTCTTCTGGAAAAAAAGAATACTGTAATTGAAAATTACATATAAAATAAAACATAACTTACAAATTGAATTGCATTATTCAATTCCAAAAGTTTCTCTCTGTTCTGAAGAATCAATTTCAGTTGTTTAACGAGAATGTCTCCAGACTTCAATGAATCAATAATGGACTTGAATGATTCAGTAACATGCATGATCTTTTCTTTCGTTTCGTGAGAAAATTTAGACAAAGTTTCTTTACCATCTGGAAGTTATTAATATTAGAATAGTTTATCTATGTATCTATCAGCATAATATCATCAAAAAAAGGTGATTAAAAAAGGTGATTATTAGAAAAGATATCATTTTTAATGCTGTAAAAACAATACATGAAATTTTACATTATATGAAATTGCACTTTTTAGTTCCTTTTTTTAAAACCTATTTCTGACTCCAAATTTTGGTGAGCTGCGTGCGTATCATTGAATTTATTCAAATAATTATCCAATGCATTACACTGCAATTTATATTTCAAAAATCAGAATGGCTATTGGTAAACAATGTACCATATTCAATTTTAAAATACAGGATGTCCATGAAGTGTCAGGGTGTCAAGTGTTACAAATTCAATTTTGTTTTGAAGTCAGTTCTCAATATATCCTAACGAGGTTGGTTGTGTTTTAATCAACAATTGTTTTAGGTATTTTTACTTGACTTAATATATCTGTGAGGGCCAAAACAATAAAAAAGCAAGACACAAAAATATACTCACGAAAAAGACGAAAAAATTGAGATGCAAATGCCCATGTAAACATGAATTGAAGAACTTGCATATCAAAAGATATCGTTGGGGAATGAGCTTTATGTAATTCTCTATTAAAAAGTTTGTCAAAGATTTGAATAAATCTTGGCGTCCGGAATTGAGAATATATATTTCGCAAGGTTGAAGTTGCCATTGAAGTAAAGCCTCTATCCTTTCCCTATGTAAAAAAAACTTATTTTTAATTTGTTGGAAAATTGGTCTAATGACAAATGAGCTATGGATTTTGGATACATGAATTTAAATAGGATCAAGTTGAAGCGAAATTTATGACTAAATGCACATGGCATGATGACTTATCGGTGAAAGTTGGGTAGGCAATGCCAAACCAAAAAAACTGCGCTCGATCCAAATGAATAGTAAGTAGTAGCTTACATATCGTTAAATATTAGTGGCTACCTGTACAGTGCCTCTTTCAGAGTGAAAAGTTTCTTAGAAAAAAATTGACTCAAACACGTAACACACATTCCAAGCAAAGTTCATTTGGCAACTACTCCTTATATTTTTTATTCAAATATTGAAATTTGTGAACAATAATACATAATTTCCCTAAGAAAATGTTAGTATACCTTTTTATTGGTAGGTGCATATTTTGATAACAATAACTCAGTGCATTGGAAAGCTTTTTCACTGAAACAAACTTCTACAGCTTCCTCGAGATTGAAATTTTCAAGCGTTATTGCATAAAAATTCAAGAAATCATCATCCTTGTCTTTCCAAGACTAAAATGAAATTATTATGAAAATATTAAAAGCTAGTTGTCAACATTATGTGTTGTTTACATCAGTGTTTCCCAACCTATGAGTCGCAACAGTGTTTCCCAACCTATGAGTGGCAACTAAAAACTGAGTTGCCTGAAAATCATCTTGAGTCATTTCTGCAGCCAAAAAAGAACTACATGCTGTTTAGTATGTGAGCATATCCTTGGTTCGCAAGATTTTACAAAAATTTTTTTTTGTTCAATTTTGGTCGCCTGAGAAAAAGGTTGAGAATCACTGGTTTAAATAACTTTCATCCACAATTTTTCATCGAGCATATTCTGTTGTTTATTGAGCTTCTAATACTGAATTAACTAAAACCCAGCAAAGTTAATTTATCCCAATCCCAAACAATTCAACACACTGATTCAAGATTCCCTGACTATATTTCTATATAGTATAAAAATCCTGGCATCAATATTGCTTCATGACACTGACATAAAATTTTAACAATGAAAACATTTCTTGGCAATATGTGCGTTAAAGATATATACTCCAAATGCAAGATTTTTTGCTTGGAAGTCTAGTTACAGCTGAAGAAAAATTAAGACTAGATTAATACAACAAACCTGTTTTCGATTTCTCTACCCTGGAATTGGATTTGAAAAACAAAAGATTCATATACTTCTAAATTAATAGCATTATTGCTTGCCATAAAGAGTGGTTGTTCAGAGCCTTTTTCAGAGCCAAGTTTTTAATCATCGCTCAACAAAACTAAATCAAAAGTGAATATGAACGTGCCCTATGTCAGAAAAACCACACTGGATAATAATACACGGCAAGTAGCATTACAACAACAAAAACACCAACATTTATTCAACTGATGTACCTTTCTTATTTTCTGTTGCATCTCACGTTTCATGGTTTTCATCCATTTGTCTTGATATTCTGAAGTGTGCCATTTTATTATGACTAGTCCATTCCAGTACTAAAAAGCATATGATTAAAAAAGAGCGATAATTTTGTGCAGAAAAATATTTTGACATCCAAAATAAATATTATTCATAAAATTTTATATAATTTAGTGGCATTTCAAACAATGCTACAATAATATTTACTGAGCATACAAGCATTCATCAGATAATTTAAACAGAATAATTTTTCCAGTGAAATTATAATAAAAAATATTGTTAATAAAAGTTCACATATAAAAAGAACAATGACATAGAATTACCAAAAAACTTATTATTGGACAATGGACATGAAATCTTTGTTATTATTATGTTGTTGTTCTTGTTGGTACTTTTCTTCTTATTGTTATGGGGAAAAAATCGCCTTTCTCATTAACTACTGGACCAATTGCTTTGAAATTTTCAGTGGCTGAAGATTGTATTGTTCGCTAGAGGGCTATCGCTTTTATTTATTTCAAAAATTTCTGTGGGCTCTTTAGGATTGTTTTTAACTGTAATAATGTCATCAAAAATTCCGCTTTTACCTTAGTTGTGACCAGTAATCTACTATGACAGATTACATACCTATACTACTTGAGCATCGCCCCTCTTGTTAAGTATTTAGATTATTTCAAATTGAAATAAATTTTAATGCAAATTATAGATAAATATCCTCAGTTAATAATGTGAATCAAAAATAGTTTGTGAATACTACAAGATAATTACTAAGTTGTGTGATAAATGGCCTATTCAACAACAATTCAACTTAAGCTTGAAAAAAAATGATTCATGTACATTATTTACTGTTTATTTCTACTTTATGCTTTCTCAAGGAAATAGAAATCAAACTTACACTTATTTGTTCTTCATTGATTCTGCCTTTATGTATTCTTGTCGTTATTGATGTTAGGATATCATCCAAGTATACACAACCTGTTGTATACCTGTCCAACTCATCCTGTTCGTTAAAAAAAGAATAGAATTAAATATTAACAATTACGGCTGGGCATTTCGAATCAAACAATAGTAATTCGTATAGATTCAGGCGAAAATTTTGGAACGCCTCCATCTTGTTGTTTTTTTCGCTTGCCAAAGGTCAAGTTCATTATTTTTGGTTGAAAATGCAAGCTGACATATGTGACTCTTTTCTTGCTAGTGATTAATGAAGAAACAGTTTCTTATTGTGTCTGAACACTCATAATTTTATAAATAAGAACTCTGCCTTATTTAGCTCACAGTATGGTAATATTAAAAGAAGTTTAGGAATTTCTGAGATCAATTTCATTTCAAAACATATTTTAAATAAACTTGATATCTGTTTTTGTGTACACCTAAACTTTTTCCATTGCATGACACAGTATTATGAAAAAGGAACTATCTGGATAATGACACTCACAGAAATGATAGTACCATAAAGATTAACTTCCTAAATTACTAGTACTATTTAATTGGAATTATGGACTATACAATGTACAGAAATTCTCTGATGGCTATCATGAAATTTATTATGATTATGATACAAACCTTATCTGAAGTCTTTTCTTTTAGTGTTTGCATCAACTCAGCTGCATAACGAGTCATGCTTAAACACCACAAAATATCATTGTTCCAAGTTTTTGTTTGTTTATGGTCGTAGGTATTGGAAGCTTCATCATTGAGAAAGACATAAAAACTTGCCAAAACATTCACAGGAAGACCCATCTTCAGTCTTCTCTTACCACTATCTTGTGCACTATAAAAAAGGTATCAAGATTAGAACATTGAGGGCAATACACCTCAAAAGCATCTCAAAGACAATGTAGTGACCGAAGCTGACATTTGTTTTTTCAGGCTTTCAGGTTATCCGTTCATCATGAACTAGTAGAAAATACATAAAATCAGTAAAAAAACATGGTTATGAACTGTCATACGAGCTAGACTGGCGCATTACTCGAACAGCATTCACAGGTTATAGTATTTTCGCAGAGTGTTTTGATCTAGGAAGAGAAACCCAATTGGAAACATCACATCTATTAATATTTTTAAGTACATTTATCAAAAAACTTGACCATGTTTATCGTGTTAATAATATTAAAGTATTAAAAAATGTCCAACTATTAAAATGAACAATAACTGAAAAATGTTCAAAAATTCATCTTACGAATCAGATATTTCGTCAACTGGTGCTTTTGCTTGATCAATTAAGCTTTGAAATGTGCAGATAAAGAAATCACTTAAATTTACAACATCTGAAAGTCGCTATAAAAGAAAAAAAGCTTTGTATAATTATCTGTTTATTTTGATATCAAAATGCCCAATAATCATTTCAATTCAAGTTTTTTTCAAAGAAAATACAAAAGTGTATAAGTATGAAAATTATTACCAAGGTTATAGAGAGGGAGGTGGAATAAAATTGTGCATACCAAAAGATGCAGACAAAACTTGACAGATGATAATCCTTAGGACAATTTTGATCAATTGAAGGTGACACCCATTTTGATTGTTTGCTAGGCGCTCCAGAAGTATGTGTACCAAAATGAAGGTAGCAAATTTTGTTCGCCTACTTTACATCAACTTGTGACTAAAACCTATGGGCAGGGGGTATATTCACTTGGCTAGCACAAACTATCCCCGAACTCACAATAGAACTAAAATAAGGAAAATCGGAATAAAATTATGGCCTAACCCTAACCTGGTACACATACTCTATGGGAGTAGGCCTACCGCTTGGTAAACTATGATGTGTGCATACTAGTGACAATTCCTGGTGAACTTTATGGACTCGCAGATAATTAAAAAAGAAATTAAAGCAAAAAAGATTGGTTGAGATGAAGGAATGTTTTCGAAACAACTGGAAGCAAAGCCACCCAAACACCACCCACAAAACTAATTATGCAAAACGATCCGTTGGTTCACTTTATGTTAAAATAAAAAAAAATCTCACCAATTCCCCTGTATATCGTGAAGGTTTGCAAGCATTAAGTAGATGATGAAACACAGAATCCAATGCAAATTTATCGCCAATCCTATGCGTATCTCGAGTAGAAATCAATTCAACAATTGTCCTCTCTCTCAGCATGTAATGATAGGCACCAACAATCCATGGATGAACTTGATATATTTCATATATATCTTTAGAAAGCTCTACAAAGCGTCTGAAAAAGGATAAAGATGCTTATTTTATTTGTATACGAAAAAAATATGCAAGTAATTCAAACGATGTAAAAAAATGAAATTCTGAAATAATGACAAGACCGATTGAACATTCCAATTATTTAGAAATTAATAATAGTCGATATTTTAAATTCTCGATTTTTAAAATAAAATTTAGAATAGTTTAATTTGAAAGATTATTATTCAAATTAATGTCTCACAGTCTAAATCTACACAAATAAAGTTCATTCAACATATAGGGGTGACCCATAAAAAAAGGGACCCAGTCCATTTGGAACATATTGTATGGGTTCCGTTTTTTTTTTTTTTTTGAAGCACCCTGTACAAAAATTTGTGAAAACACACAAGTAAATATCAACTTCCCTGCATGATTTAATATGCCATATTGGAAAATATCATTTGAAAATCTATCATAGGTTATTCAGTGTTGACCATCACTCAAGAAGTAGTATAAGGAATTCCTTGCCGTCAAAAAAGTGTAAAATCATGGTGAAAACGAAGTAAACTCAGAAAAATATCAAGCAAAAAACACAAAAATTCAAATTAGAATTACGGAAATATTTCATTCACCTCTGTATTGTTTCCCGAGAACATTTTATTCGTACAGTGGACCAAGCAAGATTGTTTGCGGATGGTAAACCACTCTTTTTGTGTAAAATTTGGCCCTGAACATTATTCAATTTCATAGCACTTTTATCTATTTCACCGTAATCCGCAACCAGCCAATACAGTGGAAGAGATAAAATAAACTCGGGTCCTTGTAAGTCACACAACCTTCGATATAGTGAAATGATAGAATCTTGAACACCCGGAAGAGATCTTCAAATAAAAATTACAATTGTTTATCAAAAAATAACTTGAATGCGCTTTTATTGCAATTGCAATAACACTTAGCTCCTATTCCTTTTGGAAAATAACAAAATATTTTTATATGAAATTTTGAAAATAATGAAGGAGTTACAGCTTTTCGGCATAAAGATGTTGTTAAATAACTTCGGTGACCATATTTCCCTTTCACGGCTATTGAGTCGCTTTTCTGGACACAATTTTTTGGCATGATTTAGGGGGAATCTTATTGGGCGACTATGCTTCTTTTATTATTTTAGAAGTGTGTTTATTTTTCGCATGAATCTTCTCAAACATGATTGTGAATTGTTTAATGCGCAATGCTACATTATGTTTACCACATTGTCTGAGCAAATCTTGGCATTTGGTGGTCGGCCGTAACATTGTTTAATGATCAATATCCTCAACTTTTAAGAAACGCCCAGTGTGCGAAAAAATATAAAAGGAATAGACAAAAAAGCAATATTGCACACAAAAGTACAAACTCAATTAAAATTGAGTTCATTTGGGAACAGTTTGGTATTGATAAAAGAGTATTGAAAACATACTTTTCATCATAGGATTGGCATTCTGCAACAATCTCCTTGTAAAGTAATTTTTGGTCATCTTCAGACAGTGTGTGAATACTTAACAGTTTGAAAATTTCAGAGAGTAGATTTTCATTATATAGCATTATTTTTTCATTGTGCAACGCCATCGTGAGTGCCAAAGTTGACAAAATAACTCTCATTGTATCATGTTTGTTTTTGCTCTTAAGCAGTAAAGAATTTTTCCAGAGCCAGTTGAGTATACCTTGTTCAATTGCCTGTTTTAAGAAAGTTTTGGATTAATATGCATAAATAACAGAAATGAAAATAACAAGATGTTCTTATTCTGGTTGGCTAAAATACTTTTCAGTCGATTAGTAAGAGTCAGGTACTTCCTAAAACAGTCTCTGATTATAGAAAAGTGTAGATTGCATAGTAGAGCGCCGAAGGCTTCTAGAAAGCAAAAGAGACTATGGGAAGTACTTTATTGGTATTGACGTTATAGACGTAACACTATTCTGTTGGTGTTATTGAATTCACATAAGTTTTATCAAATGTGATACAAATTTTTTCTATTTTGCGGGAATTGTATCTCATGGCAGTTAGTGAATGCTCCAAAACATGAATGTCTCCATGTTTTACAGTTCAATCTTCACTCCTACAAAAATATTTCACTTAATATTTGTATTAATGCATCAAATACCAAAATGATTTCAAAAGTAAATTTTCAAAAGTACTAACTTCTTTTACAAAGAGTTTAATGGACAAATAATAAAAATCCTCGCAAACAGGCAAAAAAATGTCATGATTCACGGCATGATTAAGACGTTTGATCGGTTTTGTTTTTGTCTTCAAATATAAATGAAATATGAAATATCTTATCATATCATAACTAACATAATGTCAAATATACATTCTTAAATATATCTCACTAACCTCCATTGATGGTCGTCTATAATACCCATAACTCTGAGTTACATTCCAAGCTTTTCTTACAGTATGCATCCAGGAAAAAACTTCTTTTCCAAAAGAACAGGGCTTGTCTTCATCCGATTCACATCTCAATGTCAAAAATTCAGCTCCAGGTAAATGCTGTATCACAGCCTCCTGGTTCAACTGAGACCATGATTTGGAACCATAATCTCTAATGAATGAAACAACATCATGGCAAATTGATCGAGAAGTGATATCTGAAAAATTTAAAACATGAAAAATATAACAGAGAAATATTAACCCTTTAATGCTTTAGGAATGGTGATATCAGAATAGTTTATAGTTTATTTGGTATATACAGAACTTATGAACCAGGGGTCCCGACCGCGAAAGAGCTCAATGAAGGTCGCAGTAAAGTCTTTTTCGACAGTAACCTATATTGAAACAAAATATGGATTAAATTTGAAAGGTTTCGAACCAGTACTGAGACCCACCATCACCGAAATAGAGCTAAGATACTATCTTTAGTGAGAAAATACACATCGTTCTCATTAATAGTATTGTGGTTTGCGAGTCTTATTATTTTTTATCATTACATTCTGTATTTTTAAATTTTACTCTATTCTTACATTAGTGTGTGATGAAAAAAGTGGTACATTGGTAAATTGGTAAGTGGTTATATGATATTTTATGCTTTAACTAATATAGCAACATATTAATACAGAAGTATAAGTAATTTTAAAGAGAAATGCCCCAAATGAGTGCCCGAATTGAAAACAAAACACTATTCTGGTCATGACCATTCTTGAAAACAAATCAAAAACTCACCATGGACACTATTTTGGTCATGACCATTCTTAAAAACAAAATCAAAAACTCACCATGAATAATCCGATTAGAAGTCATTGTGCCAACATGGTTAAATTCTTCCCAACGAACTGAATTCTTTTCAAAAGAACGCATAGCATATTTATATTCAACAATCGTTCTGTTCTTCAAGAATGGCAAATTCCGAAAGAAAAATTTTCTCCTGAAGTTATATATACACATGAATGAAATACTAGTAATAGACTAAATAAATGAATTAAAAACTCAACTACAAATTGTCATTTCTTACTTTGAATGCCATTCCATTTTAATTCCTGTCCATTCACCATATAAATTAGTATGAATCCATAATTCATAAGTAGCAGGTATTACATTATTTTCAGCCAACACAACTCGGAACTCAATTTCTGAAACAGGAATGTAGCTGCGTTAAACTTTAAATAATTACCATTCACACTGGCAAAAAATTGGCAAAACCTTATTTAGCATGGATTTTTATTATTTTAAAGCAGTGGTTCTCAACTTTTTACTGGTTGCTTACCAATTTAATGTTTTTCACTCTGGCCGCGTACCACCGATAAAGCCTCGTTTTTGGGGTGGGAAACAATGGCATCAGAAACGATTTACCGGTATAGAGTATTTTATAATGCGGCATAACATCCTTTGTGGTGTAACACACAAAACGGACGATCTCTAAAAAAGGACTCTTAAAAAAGGAAATCATTGCCGGCATATTTTGGCCAACTCAAAAGTTGATTGTTGGAATACTTCAAAGTTGCTCACGTACCACTTGAAAAGATCCCACGTACCACAGGTTGAAAATCACTAAAGACTATCGAAACAATCGCCTATACTTTTATAATTCTAATAGTGACTCTTGAAAGACTAAATTAATATTGACGAAATTTGAAATCAAGAGCTAGCTTTACAAAATGCTCCAAGTCAGAAAAACGATTAAAAACTAAATAAAGCGAACCTTCTGCATCAGCATTGGACGAGAGACTTTTGAGTTCTTCTTCATCTTTCTGTTTCAAAACTTCTTTCGCTCCTCCAACAACTTCTTTCACTTTTCCAACTTCTCCTTTCGATGAATTACTGGATGTACCAGAAGCTTCTGAACAATGTAAATCCAGTGTGATTCAATGTTTAATATTGACTGAATATTAAATGTTTCAAAAAAATCATAAAACAGACCTTGATAGGAAGAAAAGTAACAGCACATTTTTTTAAATTTGTAAGATTTGAATCAACGGTTTTGTTTTATTTCACAACCTAAATATATTCTCCAGTGACATGGAAAGGAGTAATTGGTTGGCTACAATATCTTCAGATAACATGTACCTTCAAGTTTTATTAAAAAAACTTGTGTCTACATTTTCTGTATCGTATATGAATATCCAAACAAGGAAGATACTGCGATAAGTTTGTTGACGAGATAAATTTAAGAAACAATGTCTGCTTGCAACACATATGTGGAATCTGGAAATTATGGCATTATCATTACGCAACAATTATGAAACAGTGTAACAATTAGACATATTCGCTGTGTCTCGTTGGTGATTTCAGTATGCCCCTACATGTTGGAAACTGTAAACGGCTACTAGGCAGATTAGTGATTTGTTGAATTTGTGAACATAGTAGGCGTAGCAAAGATGTTGTTTACATCAAATGTGGTTTCATTAGGACATGAAATAACTTTTGAGCGAAAAGCTCAATGTGTTGAGTGTTAATGCTTTGTTGCGTGTGAGCTTCCTTTATCAAGCCTCTAACTTGATCTGATAATATCCAATATGCCAGTTTCTCATTAACCTAATCCTAACGGTTTGACGCATGCGCGACGTTTCAGACGTTTTGCAATGCTGTGTGTATACCATGAGGTCTGGAATGTTTGTTATGGTCTTGCTTGAAAGGAAATCTTATTCCCCACACAACGATATGAGAATGAACCTTACATGACATTTAGAAGTGATAAAATTTCGCTTACATATCACGCGTGTACTTCCCGCTGCGATATAAAAACGTCGCACAACAAGAAAATGATTCCATAAATCATAGCGTTGCGCGCTAACCAATAACAAAAGCTAGTATGATAAGGTCTTATTTTGAAGGTCATTTTATATGCTACATAACATAGGAGAGTGGACATCTCACAACGTCAGGAAGTTATAAAAATATCGAGTCGTTTGATCGCAGCTGCCTCACCGAAAAAAAGTTAGGCGTTTTATCTCGCAAATTCTCCTTGTCTGACGATTATAAGCTTTTATGATTCATAATAAATGTTTTATTATGACTCACAAAAGCTTTCAACGCGATAAAGCACAAACAAACAACCGATCGATCTATCAAGCTTAGCCTGGCCTGATTCGATGTGGTGACTTCTCAAACGGAAAATTTCCAAAACGATTGAACGACACGCGCTAACGAATAGCGTTTAGTATCATATGAAAGAGAAAACCGATGTGCAGTCAACTGTATAGTTACATTTCAGCTTTACAATAGCTGTAGACGTCCAACAGCTGATAGAATGAGAGAGTGTAAATATTTTTGTTATTTTTTGACGTTACGAGAGACCTCTTGAAAGAGGTGTTTTAGTTTACGGTCCTCCAGTGACATCTAGCGTATAGTACTCTAAAATACCTTTCCAATGGTATATAATTATTGTATATTGGGTAAATTTTGGGGGTCGTATGACATTAATAAAAATGTATTCAAAATTGGGCTCGATTGGGCGTCTGAATCAGGTTAATAGTGAATTGCATCAAGATAGAGTGTTTATTTTTCTCATATAGCAACATTTCATTGTGGGTCGCACAAAAAAATGGCAATAAAAGTGGCTCGCAAACTGAATAAGGTTGGGAAGTACTGGAATAATACTCATCATTATTAGTTAAATTTCAAGAATTGAAATATTATAGGTGAACCAATACAGTCCAGGGGTTCCGCAAATTTGCATTCAAATCTGAAAGTCTCTTTAATTATATGTATTTTGTTAAAATATGATCAAATACCTAGAACAATAGATTTGCCCCTACTATTAAATTCGCAACACTTTAAAGATCATTTTGTTTTGTCAGTATTAGGTACGCTTTTATGTATATTTATAGTTTACACAGTTCTTGTTACAGCCTTACAAATATTGCATAAAGGTTACACGAGCCCTTGGAATGTTTTATCGTGGTTCCACAACACCCATTAGATTGAAAACCACCAAGGTCATTCTATACAAATGCATCCAACTTTGTGTGATTTGGGATTATCAGATTAAAAATATTCAAACTTTTGCTTTACATGAAATAGAAAATAAAACTACGACTTCACAATGAAGTATATTTTGAAAATGTATTTTTTTCAATTTAACCTTTTTTATCATCTTTGCTTTCTTGTTTGGGTTTACCAACATTTTGATTTTCATCAACTTCCATCTTGTCAGTTCCATTTCTTACATCGACAACTTTCCTGGGCTGTGCTTTTTTTGAGGAATCTTCAGTTAAAAAATAAAATGATCACACATATAATTTAACTTGACAAATACACAACAGTTTTAACAACTTTATGATATTCATTGTTTACCGATATTCCTATACGAAAAGGCACAATAGATATGAACTATCACTGTATATTTAATGACAGAAATATGAGTTATGAAAATAAACAACTTGGCTGATATTTACACTTTCAAATATTTATTAAGCTTAAGTGATTCAAGAGTCTTGCTGCACACTAACACAAATATTATATTGCTTTCGATGTGTAGTAGATAATGGTTTGGCTAAAGTGTGAATGCACTGCAGATAGGTATGATACAATGGTACATAAAGCTCTCAGTAGATTATGTACAATGCAAACAATTAGGATGCGACAAAAGTCAAACAGAGTATGCTTCTATTTGTATTCTGCAAGAGACACATCTGTTAAACAATAACCAGGATTGCCATTTAAAAATGTGGTAAAGTATGTGAAATGAACCCTGAGTATTTCTCAGGTCAAAATTTGATTTTCATAATAATATGAAAAAGAATAACAACACTTCATGATCATATACAATAGCAATACAAACCAAAGCCCTTGGTCCCTGAATTACTGCAAATCCGACCGACCTTGCTTTGCGCTGACGGAAGTCAACAGAGTTTTTAAAGATCTTACTCTTGTTTTGAACATAGGCAATTTTGCATTGAGAAAATTCTTACCAAAAGTAATAGCCTATATATTGTAACTTATGAATTGGCATGAATTCAATCTTGTATGATAATGATTCAACAATCAACTGAAGAAGCAATGGCTGCTGTTACCTGATAGACCCATGTCTTTGAGTTTCTCTGCTGTCTCGGTAACTGGTTTTTCCTTGGTACCAGCATGAGAGTCACCTACAAATAATTTGGAATTGATGAAAATGTTATAGGTAAATAGGTAAATTATAATAATGTGGAGAGTAAGTAACCCTTCTAACCTTTAGAGGTATCATTTTCTTTGCTGTATAAAGAAGTTTTATCGTCTTCATCTGTTAAAATAATTGAAATTATTCATAAGAGATTCATAATATATCAATGGTTGTATAATCTAGCTAGCAAATAGAAATGCTCTCACCAGCTTGGTAGTCATATTGTACAAAGGAGACTAAACAAACATAATATTGAAATATGTTCTGTAATACTAATATCCAATATGGTAATTTCCCAATTTTAAGATGGATTTTGAGTATTTTAATTCTAACAAATTAATTCTATGCAAATAACATTTGATCTCAATTAGGGCCAAAATCTGATTTTGGCTTCAAGAAACTGCAGTAAATATAAAAAAAAAAGGAAAACAAAGTTTATCTCCATTATTCCATACTATGAAAATGAATCTCTATGAATAGGCAATGATTTGTGTATGCTTTCTATCAAAAAATCATAAATTCGGCATCTATTTTCAATTTAAATACACATCAATATTATTACTAAATACCCGCAGTTTTCCATATAAAATGACATCAATTCTTTCCAATTTTTTACAAAATTCAATTTTTAAATTATAATATTTCTTTGGGGAAGATAGACATAACTTCGTGCATTATGTAAATACCTTCAAAAAGTTTTCAAAAATAGTATACTGTAGAAAATACAAAGTTTTAGCTTCAGCTGAACCAGTCACTGAGTCAGGATATGTTTGCAGTGTCACAGCAAATAAGGACAAGACAAACGAAAGGCTTGAAAATAGCAGTGGAGCTGCATCATACTCCAACAAATAAACTCACCATATTTCTGTCTTTTAGGAGGCATTCCATCATTTTGACTTGATTCTGAATGTAAATATAGATGAAAATATTAAGAATTTTGCAAGAATGGCAATTAATTGTACTACTGCTCAAATTTTCTGACAATATCATCATAAAAATTCCCCCAAAATAGAACTTTGAATAGGATAGGATTAATAAATTTATCCTGAAGGAAAGCGAAGAAAGTCGATAAGACGACTTAATCATATGGCGAACCACTGCCTCTTGTTTGGTCACAATGCCATGTCTGGTATGGGATAAGTTAGCCAGTTATTTTTTTCGGATGCATTTTAACGATAGGAAAACTGAATAAATATATATAATACATTTTAATTTTAAAAAAATTTAATGCTCAGTGGTACTAGGAACATTTTTAGACTGTATGATAAGCTTACCATCACCTCTGTCTGTATGTTTGGAGGTTGGTTTGCTTGAGCTAGCTTTCCTGCTTTTGTCCTGCAAGAATATAAACGAGTTACAAATTTAAAATCAAAAAGGAAAATATTACAGATAATATGATGCAAGCATACTTGGAAATTATTTTTAGTGACAGTCTATATAAAATGTACACATATCAAAATCTACACATCTAATGATGTTGCTTTGAGTGAATAAAATACTGTAAAAAGAGAATATCAAAAATACATAAAACCATTTTATAACAGAGTGCAAAATGACCTTAATAATGAAAAACTATTTACAAAATTGGTGAACTAAGCCAAAATATACCCAAAATTGGACATATGCAATTATATCTATCAACAGTCATATTCCGAACAAAAAGATTCATTAAAAAAAATTAGCACTGATACTTCTTCTGAAACTCCTTTTTCGTGCATCAGTGATTTAAAATTAGTAACGAATTCTGCAACTTTTTCTTTATCAAAATCTTCTCTGCATTTTGAGATGAATTTTAATGGCCAGTCATCACAAAAGACTGACGTCCTAAAATACATAAATTGTAAATTTCAACAAAACTTTCCATTAGGAATCAGTCCATTTGAACAATGCAGTAGCATCGAGGTTATCGATGAAGGAAAAACTTACCTAACCTTAACAAGACTGTCACTTATTCACCCCCCATATTGAAAAGCTAAATTTGACACAGAATTTTCATATTGGATTCTAATTCACCTCATAGGTTATTATTAATATCATATAAGGATTATCTGTCAAGATAAATAAAACTTCCAATGAAAATCATTTAAACAGAAAATTGTATATAGGCCTACTGGTAATATGATGTCAAAAATAAAAACAATTTGGAATAAAACCAGCAAGATGAGTCTTTTTATTGTACATAAACATTTGTATTAAATATCTGAATTATTGAATAAACTTGATATAAGTATATACATTAAGACTCTGACTGTATTGTTCAAATACCCTTTACGTCATGTCTTCAAATTAAGAATAACAATTCGAGTTTTGAGTTCCAAACTCGGCTCATATTTGAGGATAAACGATAAGTCTCAGATCTAGTTTTAAGATAACTCACTCTTCTGAAGGCCATGTCAGTTTCATCAATTGCATGCATTCTGTTTTTAAATTTATTAAATGGTCCCAGGAGATAATGAGAAAATGTAACTTGTCCAAAATGTCATCATCACTCAACAAATGTAGCAACAAACTATGGCCAGGAATATCAGGACACTCTGAAAAAAATTGACAACAAAAACTGAATACAAATCATTGATATTAGAACATGTTAACCCCTTCACTGTTGTTCCCGAGTATATTCGTCTAGCACGGGCCATATGTACAGAGTTAAACTCATGCACTTACACATCGAGAATTTACATATTTTTCCCAGAGGAGTTGAAAGCCGATAACACAGCTTAATCATATGGCAAACCATGGCATCTTGTCTGAATACCAGTCCATATCGGTTATGAGATTAGTTAGCCAGTTATTTGTTTTCGGAAGCATGGAGTCAATGGCAGAAAAAGTCGTAACTGACCAGCAGTTACGTGAACCACTGTACAGCGGCGAGGAGTCCAGCAATCCTGTCGCACATAACTATCCCTGCATGAGATTCGAATCTGCGAACCCATGCAAAGTAATCAGAAGTGCAGTGGCGAGCGAATCTCTAACGCTTAGCACGATGATGCATCACACTGCCTAGTTTGGTTGCCAGTAACTGCTCTTTTGAAAAAAATTCCACAAGGGGATAAACAATATTTTAACATAAGTAGATAGAAATTATTTACTCTCATCACAAAGAGCAGCAGTCAGATTGATATTCCATATATCAGAGTGGCGAAGCATACAATCCGACAATTTTCCGGCTGCATCTTTCAAAAATCCATCTTGAACATCATCAAATATCTTTTTCTTTTGTGCTAAAAATTTAGAAATCCATAGATCTGATTTAATTCAAAAATAAGAAAATATTTACAACCAAACATCGCTTATTAGGCAATGAGGGGTTGGTTGTCTTGTTTTAGTTTTTTTTTACGGATGCCAGGAAGTTGGCTAGACTCCTCGTCAGCGAAAATGCATCATATAGACAGATCTTATTATCGGCTACATAGGGTATTAAGCCGACTTACAGTCTCATCAGTTTCTCCTTCTATAATATTTTTAGTATTTCATAATTATAGCCAGCAATGCAATAAAGAAAAATAACTTACATTTTGATATTACAGCATTAGTTGCCAAACAACTTGCAAAATTTTTTATCAAATCTCCATCGTTGTCAACAGCATGAGAAATGATGATTTTGACACAATGGAATAGTTTTTCATTCTTTTTCTCCATGAGAAAAATTTCTTCTGTGCTCAACACAGTGACAACTGCATAATGACAACTAGGACTGTGAAAATCTTATTCAGGTAAACACTTACACTAGGAAAATGAATAATCTCTTCCTGATAATTGTATTACTTTAGTATGATATAACTGTATAAAATAGCCTACAGCTGAAAAGGATACAGCACCCAATTAAATTTTAATGTAAGAATTGGCTCATGGAAGTGCTTATCCTCGCTTTGGTAAAACTATCCCAAAAAAAGCTTATTCACAAGTGTGTAGGCAAAGATAGAGAATGCATTTAGCAAACCAGAAAACAATATCCGAATATCAATATTTGTAGTGGCCGAATGGCAATGACACATAGACTTTGGATCAGGGTCAGCGAACAAACAAATGTTCCACCTTGTTTTTCAGTGAGCGATCAAGTCATGAATTATTGAAAAAAACTGACCAACATTTACCTAGGTCATAAAAATTGGTAATAACATCAGCTCGTATTTAATCTAACATGATACAGAGATGTGAACTACTAGACTATATTTAGTGATATACAGCTATTAGCAACAATACTGTTACAACACGTAACTTGTCTCATGATGTATGCTCCCTTTCAAAGTGCATGAGCCAAAGCGACAGCAGAATGCAGTACATAGGGCACAGTTATCCGATTTTAAGAATAGTCCCCATATTAAAAGACATCAATTCTAACAGTGAGTGGAACCCCCTAATTTACAAGACAATCTTTAGAAGCCTTTATATTGGCACGAATCATCAAAAAAATGTTAACCATAGCATTCAAAAGTTTTTAGCAAAGAAAAAGGCAATTTTGGTCACATAATGGCTGACGCACATTAGTATTGAATCAAGCATAGCACTATCTAACGCATCCGCCGTCATGCCAGACAAATAAAATATCTGTTTCATTGAACCAAATGTCGGGACATCTTGGAATCGGAGAACTGTACTAGAATGCGGGTCTCATGTAGTTTCGTACCTAACGTACTTCTAGTAAGCGAAACATAACAATTTTTTTACGTGTCAATCCTAACCCCCACCCGACCACACCATTCAAAAATTACGTCACTACGACGTCACAGTGACATAATAGAGCCCTTCAAATTATGCGAACTGTCATCCAAGACGCGCAGATGAGAACCCGAAATCAAACAGCCATTTCTTTTCGTTTTCTCGTCACAACGATCCCGATACAGCGATAGGAGAGAGATCGCTGTCGTTAGTCAGTTCTTTATCGTCGGAGCCGATGCCATTTCGGGCGATCGTACGAGTATTTAGCAAGCTCTATGACGTGATTGTGATGTCGTAGTGACATAATTTTTGGATGGCGTAGTCAGGTGAGGGTTAGGATTGGCGTGTCAAATTTTTTTTATGCTACGCCTACTAGAAGTACGTTAGGTACAAAACTACACGAGACCCTAGAATGCTTGGGGGAAATAAAATAATGGGATCTACTTTGCAGTTTATTCTTTTCAGCTTTTACTGCATACAACCAGACAACTGTACAATGCTGTTTATAAAATAAAACTTATATTAAATAGACTATGGTACCACAGAAATCTGAAATAACAATGGAGCTGGATAGTCTGATGACTGGATGATGGTTACTTTAATACAGTAATACGGTTGAAATGAAAGTCGATCACAAAATATTATTCTGTTATTTGCTGTAGTAATAGTATCCGTACCGGTAACCTTCGTTTGGTGATTCATATTGACGCATCCACTATAACACACATTGTGTCTTTATGTAATGACCTTTCAATACTAATATTGAATTTGATGCTAATGCAACCGTAATTCACGAGTTCTGAATGTCTTCAGCCTGACAGGTAAAGGTCCCATTTTCAGTTCCTCAAATTGCAGAGACTTGCAGAAATAGCTGTTTCGGTAAAGGGGAATCCCCATACCAACGCGAAGATAACAGCAAATTTATTATTTGCGCGTGACAGAGATAAAAAAAAAAAAGGGCGCGCTGATGTCGCAAATAATACCCTTTTTTTGAAATTGGTTAAAAATTTATATGTTTTGCAACCAGTTTTGCTTCTAAACTGTATTTAAAGGATAAGATGCCGTGATTTGAGAGATGGACAAAGCTTTATTGGACACGTCAGTGGACATAACGATCGTTTTGCATTTTATGCCGGCACTCTTCTTCTTGTTGTTGTTCCTTGACACAGAATTTTAACGATATTAAAAAACCGCTTTTCTCATTGATAACTGGAACAATTGCTTTGAAATTATTAATGGTTGAAGATTGATTTTTTCCCCCAGGAGGCTATTACATTCATTTATTTCAAATATCCCTGTGAACTGAGATTCGTTTTTTATGTGTCAGGTATTAACTCAGGTACTAACTCAGGTATTAATAAATCTTTATGGATGTAGGTGGCCACTATACAGTATTCAGTGATTGTCACTGTTCTTTTTTCCATTTCGTAAATTGATTTAACAATCTATCCATATTGTTAAAATCCATTGTGTAAGAAGTGATATACTGAACATTTAATTGTGGGCATACATTAATATTACATTTCTAATTTAAATATTCATATATCTTCATGAATGTTGGTAGCCACTATACAGCATTCAGTGCTTGTCACTGTTCTTTTTTCCATTTCATAAGTTAAGTTAATAACCTTTTTTATATTGTTAAAATTCATTGTGCAACAAATGAAATGCATATTTAATTGTGGCCATACAATAATATTCCATCCCCTTTTCAAATATGTATTCATCCTTGTAAATGTTGGGAGCCACTATACAGTATTCAGTGATTGTCACTGTCTTTTTTTCATAAACCCATTTCATGAATTAATTTAACAACCTATCTATATTGTTAAAATCCATCGTGTAAGAAATGATGAAATGACTATTTAATTGTTTTCAAGTGATTATTGTTAAACTCATTGTGTAACAAGTGAGCTGTATATTTAATTGTGGCTCATACATAAATATACGAATCTTTATTCAAGTATGTATAAATACTTATGAATGCTGGTAGCAATTAAACAATATTCATCGATTGTTACTATTTTTCCCCTGCCTCTTCAGGTAAACTAATTAAGGTGCCAAAATGAGTCAAATGATATTTTTACGTCATGCACTCCATTACTGAATCTGTGATGATATTATTTTCTTGTCCCTATCTTTCAATCTTTGATCTCGGTCTGTGTCCAATAAAAAAAAAAAGATTTTTTAAATCTTTGACTGTTTTAATTCTTCCTTTGGACATAATCGGTTACATCCGTACATGATCTCTCAAAATCCTAAATTGCCCCTTGATAACTTTAATAATAATAACTTTAAATTGCCGACTCATTCACTCATTTCTTTATCTTATATATATTTTATTTAATCCCATTTGCATTTACCCATGGTACTATATTATGCCATGATAACCTTATATACAGCATTTAAACAAGGGTCGGGAACCTAGATGACCTTAATCGGTCCTGCACACCGACCCGCACAAAACAATATTCAATCGCTGTTTATTACTGATGAAATATTTTCTTTATTGTATTATTATCTATTATTGTTTATATTAGTGTTGATTTTGTTTTGTGGCAATAAATCTCTCTCTATATATATGTCAGAATAAAAAAATAGCGGCACCTAGTGACGTGTCCATATATTTGAGCGTAGTTCTCTTGTATAATTTGATAATTTCAGGTTAGTGAACACGTACCGCTTCTTCTTGGCAAAACCTTCCACCATATATACATTCTGTACGTTTTAAACCTTATCCAGGTTTTGTTTGCTCTCCTGATTTCATAATCAGTCTTTATTTATTTATTTTTACCAATCATTTTATTGTTGTGCTGATTATGGAGTCGAAATAAATTTATTATTATTATTATTTTTTATTTATTTATTTAACGATTATAGTTTGCTATTTATTTAAACCCCAATATCCATTAACGGATACCGTACCTAGCTTACTATACTATAATTTATAGAGTTTTATTGCATTTGTAGAACTTTCTGGTACAGAAAAGGGAATCGACTCCTGTACCTGTCCTACCACTGTGAAGCTAGTACCTTATTGCAGCAGCGGCCAAGCTGGTATTCGCTTTGTCACAGACGAGGACGTCTCGTTCGACGCGTCGCTGTTTCCACGTCAGGTGAAATTGGAAATGTCGCTTATTTGGTATAATAACAACAATCTGTAGACTAGTCTGATACCGTTACCGGTAGCGATGCATTCTGTTGACTTAAATATAAACGTAGAACTAGAAGGTGACAAAAAATAGAAAACCTACCGTACTTGTTGTTTCTGTATGGACAGACTTACAAATTTTCGCTTCAATTTGCCTGATCCAGTGTTACATTCCCCGGTATTGGGCAGCCAGCACGGTATCGGGATATCTGTATATTGTCCTGTAAGGCTTTGTATATATGATATAGAAAACATGGGTACAGGAAATGAAAATCTTGACAAGGCATGCTCTCAGTGGTTGGAATGGGACAGGGTAAGTACTGAAGTAGCATGGACATCCAGCTATTTGTCTATAGGAATATGTGGTTTTATGATTAGTGGCAGAATTGGTCTTGATTCTTGCATTGTAAACATAGAAACAATACTTTGCCCTTTCTTGCATAATTTTTTCATTTTAGAACGAACTCACAAGAAAGATTATATCAGAATTAATGCAAAAGAATGATGTTAATGAATTACAAAAATGTTTGGGAAAAAGAATGGAGTTTGGAACTGCAGGTGAACATCTTAAACAGTTTCAAGGCATTAAAATCATCTTAACATCCAGACATTATATGAAAGGGTCATTTTGATTTACATCCAACAAAATGTTATTACAAAATTTGATGTTTCAGATAATAAGTTTGGTGAAAGATTTCTCATATATTCATGTATTTTGACTAAAAAGGCGAAATAATTTTGAATCCTGGGGAAATCAAGTTTTTGAATTATTCTATAGAATACATTGATTGAATAGTGTTTTATTCGTTTAAAATATATATTTAATAATAGCCAGGGTATTATAACACTCATAGGTTTCTAATTTGATTTTTCGACTGCATGTGTTGTGATTTGATGATAAATTATCAAATTGCTCTTATTATTAGTCGAAAAGTAGTAGAATATTTAGACACCAGAGTATATATATATATATAATTATTCAATGTATGTATAAACTTGAATAGGGTCAGATCTTCAATCAACCTATTTATTAAGGTTTCTGTAATTAAAATCCTAAATTTGGTATGCTAAATTTTTTAAGGGTTGCGGGCTGCGATGGGAGCTGGATTCTCAAAAATGAATGATCTCACAATTATACAAACAACTCAGGTACCTCATTTTCTGAACTTTTGAATACTTTTCACAAGTTTTCCCGAAGGACAATTTCATTTATTTGATTTTTATTATGTATGTAAATCAAAATTGAGATTAAATTGTTCTAACTTATTTTGCACAGGGATTTGCCAAATATCTACAGCAAAAGTTTTCATCCGACCTTAATCAAAGAGGAGTAGTTATTGGTTATGATGCAAGGCACAACAGTGAAAGGTCTGCATATTTTAATCATATTATTTATATTTATACATGTATGTGTATGTGAAATTTGTGACAATTTTTGTGATTTCTTGCATTTGCAGTTTTTATGTGGTTGATGGAATTTTTATTTTTGGTGGTTACTTACACAAAAGCATAAAAGAGGTTTATTCATAATATTGTATTTCAAATTCAAAGGTTTGCAAGACTCGCTGCTGCAGTATTTATCCACAGTGGAATCAAATGCTATCTTTATCGTGGCATCGTGCCTACACCATTTGTGGTGAGATTTTGATTTAGGACTTGAAAATTATTTTTTTATCAAATATTTTATAAACCTAGCACCCCTATGGTCGTTTAATCGAGCCATTTTGTTCCAGGAAAAATTTATTAAAGAATACCTATTTTGATAAAGCATAAATATTTCTAACCTTATCAGACTGGAATACTGTGCCATGGGAACGAATTTGAAAATATTTTCAGACATGGAATGTGTTCCCACGATATCTAATTCAGCATTTCTACATGTGTTGCATCTATTTTATTTGAATATCTTGATAAGAGGGGCTTAGTCATATGTCGATAAAAGACCTACGGGATTTGGTTTTGAAATAGCTAAAATTTAACTAAATCTAGATGCAGACTTGGAATTATAGAGTCGTGGCAATTATGAAGCCTTAAAAATGGATTATGGGACATTGATAACTTTATTAAATTCTGTTGTGTAGTTATAACACATTGGTGAAAATTTTACTATTGAGTGTAACTGTACAGCACACTTTACGTTCTCAAATTTCACATTAAATTTTTCATGTTTAGCCATATGGTGTTCGAAAATACAAAACATGTGCTGGCATCATGGTGACTGCTTCACATAATCCCAAACAAGATAATGGTTACAAAGTTTACTGGGATAACGGTGCTCAAATAATAAGTCCACATGATTCAGGTATTTATTAGAGACATATGACTTGTTACAGTTTCATTGATATACTCAAGATTTTATAAGTTAGCTCTCGTTGTCGTTGTCTGCCTTGTTTAGGTCTAGTTGAGCGAATTAATAAAAATAATTAATGTGATGTTCAAGGGGTGCAACCAGGATTTTTATAAATGATACATTTTTTATGACAACCCACTTGGCACGGCAAAATTGTACCTTCAGGAATTAAAATAAAATTGAAGAAAAATTTAATGAAACAGCGAAAATTTAGAAAATTGACGATTGACGCCTGCCGAGCCCTTCTGCGACATCCCCATGGGGGTGGGGACCCACAGTATGAAGAGTTCTGATGAAGTCATTAGAATTGCATTTTGCTGATATGCAACATTGTTAAATAACACCCATCGTTTCGCTTGCTTGCCGCCAATATAGCCCTGAATAACCCCCTCAACCATGTTTATGACCCAAGTGACTCTTCAAAAAGGTAACATTTCATGCTATTCTACTATTGCTGTTGTTAGTTTTCCATACTGAAGCGTGTGATTGTTGAATTTATATTTATTTAAGGAATCGCAGAGTCAATTATGGCTAATCTTGTGCCTTGGTGTGATGATGTCTGGAATGATCAATTATATAAAAACCATCAACTACATATCGATCCATTGGATGAAGTTATGAAATCCTATTTCAAGGATTTGAAATCATATTCTATCTACTCGTAAGTTATTTCCCTTTCAGAACAAAGCTTTGCAACTAGTATTTCTTCACAAAATGCATTTGTAGGCTTGACATAAATCATAACTCATGAACACTATAATATATAGCTCTATATTTTATTACACCGGTACACCATAATGCAATAAATCTTTCTAATATCAGTGAAATGAATAAAACATCAGCACTTCGATTCACGTACACACCAGTACACGGCGTTGGCTTGAAATTCGCTGAAGAATCATTCAAAACTTTCCAACATAAACCATTTTTTGCCGTGGAGAAACAAAAGGATCCAGATCCTGAATTTCCAACTGTCAAATACCCTAACCCAGAGGAAGGGAAAGGAGTTCTGGTAAAATGCTTTGTGTTATTGTCTTATAAGGACAATGGAATTGAATAGTTAATTTGAAATAATCAAAAGTCATTGTAAATGATCACTGTATTTTGTGTGAAATTGGTAAATTATATCTTATAAAAAAAATTCGTTTTTCAGAGTTTTCCAACTGGGGGCTCATGGACCCCAAGGGGGCCACAATGCTCGAGCAAAATTAAATATAAGGCAATTTCGTTTGCATACTCTTACTTTATGAGAAAAATTTGCTATTAACTTTTAGACGTTTTTAGGTGTTGTTATCCGTATTATTGATGATTTCAGACTCTGGCGATGGAAACTGCTGACTCGAATAATTGTGATGTTATTCTTGCAAATGATCCTGATGCAGATAGACTTGCTATTGCTGAAAAGCAAGAAGATAAATCATGGAAAATATTTACGGGGAATGAACTCGGTAAAGAAAAATTTTTTTTTACTTAAAATTTGTCAAAAAGTTTTTTTAGTTTCATTTTAGTGTCATATGAATAGAATATGTTATCAAACCACAGCCCACGGGCCATTTACGGCACATGTAACGATTTAATATGGCCAGACGAACTTAGTGAAATAGTTCAATACTTTATGTTTTTACCTCTTTCGACCTAAATACCACCAATTGTTATATCATTATCACAGTTTAAGCATGTGCATATTCGTCGAAATATCTTTTCGATGTATATTCGAAAATATTATAAATGTTTCTGTTGTTCTATATTGCTTGGAAATATGATTAAAATGTCGTCTTGATTTATGTTCATTGTTTTGAAATATTTTGTATGATTGTTATTTCAGTTTATTAAAAAAGACTTTGTATTATGTAGGCTGTCTAATCATAGTTGATATTATACTTTGTTTTTAATTTACCAATTTAGTGAACAAAATTTATTTAATTTTAGGTGCTTTGTTTGGGTGGTGGGCATGGCATCGCTATCTTATAAAGAAAAACAATGATCGTTCCGATGTCAAAAATGTTTATATGATAAGCAGCACGGTGTCATCAAATATATTGAAGAGTATGGCTAAAGTTGAAGGATTTAATTTCGAGGTATATTGCAATTTTCAGTTGTTCTCTATCGATAAAAAATGATAATTCTTATATATTAATGGTTTTATGATTTTGCACCGTTTCAAATAGGACTTGGTTATTTATTTGAGATTTAATTACCGTAAATGTGACAGACTAACTTATGCAATTTATCTCAAATATGAGAGATCTTGTCAGGTTAATAATGTGATGTGCCATAGCAGGGGTGGGCAAGGCTTTTTGACCAGGGGCCAAAAATTTTGCCTACCCAGACTGGCGGGCCAATGTAGGTGCGACGTAAAAAGTTACATTCTATGAACAGTAATTACAGTGTTACAAAAAGCAAAATTGGAAAACAATAAGCCTCGTGCCAAAACAAATTTTTATCACAATCTAACATATTCCTTAAGCTATTTTTTAGCTAAAACATTTTCTTAATATGCATGGATCAATGATCATATGAGCGTGATAACTAACTTCAATCAATAGCCCCTTGTAATTGTGCTTTTTACAATTATTTAAGTGTATGATACTCTATTATATCTAATCCAATCTACTCTATCCAATACCTGTGAATCTTATGCATAACAGTGAATATGGGGGGAGCTGACTTGGATGACCGTATGGTCGTATCGCTCCCTCCAGTCTTCACCATAAACAGTGTTTATTTATTTGTATTTATGCTCTCATATTTATATTTGTTTTGGTTGACGAATCAATAAATCTCTCTCTCTCTCTCTCATCAGAATTTGGTTTTAGTTTGGTTGTGGCAGCATCTGCTGGGCCAGATTGAATTACCCAACGGGTCGGCGTCGGGTTTACCCATGTCAGTACTATAGTCTCAAGCCTGTTATGGAGCCCCTGTTGTAGATGGTGGAAGACATATCCAACCAGTGGTACTGCATTACCCCATGCATAAATTGATCATCACTGTAATGCTTGTATTTTCCACTATGAATTTAATTAAAAGTATTTCTTGGCACTTGGAAATGTTGAGTGAGGCTATGCAGTTTATTGCACTATGAACAATTCTAACTTATTTCAAGGACACTTTGACTGGATTCAAGTGGATGGGTAACCGTACTGATGAATTAATGAAACAAGGAAAAACTGTTCTATTTGCATTTGAAGAAGCAATTGGTGTGTGTTATGCTACTTGACTTGTCTATTTTCATACTTCAGTAACTTGATCTTCTTCTGAATTTACATCCATTACTTTTCTATCAATGGCTGCTATTATATAACTGGGGAAGTTGTTGATTTGGCAAGCTATTTTCAAACCCACAAAGGTTGTGACGTAATATTCTATTATCGGTACTCCCGAAGCATGTGAACCGAGATGGTGGACATTGAAACGTAGTGGGTTTACCAGGTTAGGGTTAGGCCATAATTTCAGGTGCAAATACTACAGGAGTCACTTCGCTAGTCCCCGAACTCGTAATAGATATAAAAATAAGAAAAATTGTAATAAAATTATGGCCTACTACATTCGGATGTCCGCCATCTTGGTTCATATACGTCCGGGTTACCCTATTATCGGTCTTTGACATTCCGGCTTTTACGAAACCCAATACTACTTGTATGTATACTTGTTTTTGAAAGCATTTCATCAACTTTCAATATCTTTGATTAATTTAATTGTTCCTGTTCAAAAGTGATTCACTGGCTTTCACTGCATATATTATATTATAGGTTATATGTTTGGAACAAATGTTTTGGATAAAGATGGAATAAGTGCATTGTCAGTTATCGCTGAAGCAGGTGTTTATTTACGATCAAAAAATATGACATTTACCAAACAGTTGGATGAGATATATTCAAAGTAAGTTTAAAGATATTAATTATACAGTATTATTTGTAGTTTATTGAATTAGCGCTTTGCTGTGATGGAATGGAGAGGTAAATATGATATAGGCGGATTGATCAATTATAATCATGCTTGAATGCTCAATAGTTCTGTAGTACATGTTGGCTGATGGCATTGGTAAATTGGTTCAGAAATTACTTCATATCAGCAAGGTATGTTTGCGATGTGCTGTCTCAAAATAGCTCGTTAAAATAATTACCAACATCTTTATTACTTGTTTATCTTTCTAATTGTTTTACTCACAATTATATAAGTATTAGCAATGTTAAAAATAATTCAGAAATCTTCATCTATCTTTTCTATCAAATCTCCAAAAATTTGTGGTGACTTTGTGTTTATGAAATGATTAAGAAATTTTCGTTTGGTCATATAACAAAAAATATTTCCTTTTTTTGTATTGCTCAGCAACTTATTACTTGATTATCTTTTGACGCTTGATAACGAAGTTAGTTTTATTATGGAATTCATTGTTTAGGTATGGTTTTCACACGAGCAACAACTCTTATTATATCAGCTATGATCAGCAGAAGATCGCTGGAATGTTTCATAGATTAAGAAATTATACAGATAGTGATAATGTAATTATTGATGAAAAAAGAGGAGGGAGATATCCTAAAATGTTGGATAGGTTCGAAATTACAGACATCCGCGACTTAACTACTGGATTCGATAGTCGACAAGAGGATAAAACAGCGGTTAGTGTCAGAGATTCAGTTGAAATTGTGTTTTCAATAAATTTCATGTTTACATGTTGTAAACATGTTTCTTGGCAATTATTCAAATATTGATTATTTGCTATGTACTGACCATCAAACAGTCCATACTTATCGGTACTCAAATCTCAAGAGTTTAATAACCCAGCTATATGAATAATGAGTGCTGCCACTCTGCAATGATTGCTGTCACTGCATAGTTTCTTGCCACATCTAATATTTTTGTGGTGAACACCCGAAACTGACCAGTATATCCATGCACCACTAGTAATTAACTTGCAGCACATGCATATAAAATGTTTGCAAAGAAATACTCGTGCTAATTCATCCTCAAAAATTAAGTTAATTTGAGTTGTTTAACCTATGTTAGAGTTCAAGCCACATTATGTCTTTCGTTTGTTTCGTCACCTAGCCAATTGTAATTGATGCATTCACTCTATTGTCCAATTGTCATTACAGACTCTTCCAACAAGCAAATCAAGTGAAATGTTGACGTTTTATTTCCGAAATGGTGTTGTACTCACTTTACGTACAAGTGGAACTGAACCCAAAATTAAATATTATTCTGAAATTGCTGCTGCCATTGGAGAGCACATCAGGTACCACACATTGTTTTGTATTCTTGACATAACTTCTCAAAAGTTCACAATCAAAGAATCCATTATTTTGCTAAATAATGTACCGGTAATGCTTTCTGCAGGTACAATTATGCATGCAAACAGGTGGGCTCGTTTCCCTATTCCAGAAGCTTTTAGCTCTCATGGCCCCCTTGTTTATCATTCTGATGGTATTTATAGTGTTATTTTGATTGATAGATTCCAAATCTCATTATGTTCAAACAATTCATGCTCAACAATGTGAAAACACCCTGTGAAATAACCTTATCAAGCAATGAAACTAGGAAGAAAGGAGTTTTCTTGTAAAGGGAAAAGTAAAATCAGTTGTGCGCCCAACATTGTGGCCCCCGATTGGGAACCGCTGTATTACACCCTTAGCATATTGCCTTAATCAAATACTTACATTTTCATTCTTTTTTAGCAACAGAGAGGCGAATGTTAAAGAACTTGGTGACCTGATAACAGCAATGTGTAAAGAATTTTATCAACCAGAGAAAAATAATTTTCAGTCAAAAAGTTCATGAATAATCGTGCATAATATTATTTATTATACCTAACATACACATTTATTATTATACAATTGCCACACAACATTTTACTCTCTCTATTTGATTATAAAATTGATTGTATTTACGGTAATTCTAATTACACGGAACTGCAAAATATATGGTAGCTTACATTCTTGGATATTAAATGAGGTGATTGTTTTGTTCATATGTGCCATTCCCCCTTTCTAAGGGAACCTTATGTGTTTATTTAATCAATTTTATATGTCATGGACATAGATTATTTTCCTTTACAATATTAATGTTGATATTCTTGGTGTTTAAGCCACAATTACTAGTTGGAATGTTATAATTCCAAACGGACCTCTTGAAGTATGCGCACCAAGATGGCGCACAACCTGAAGTCAGGTTGTGTACCAGGTTAGGGTTCAGGTTGTGCGACATCTTGGTGCGCATAATTCAGGAGTACCTTCCAAACTGTATGTTTCTTTTTTCTTGTGCCCAAGTTTCTAATAAAGTTCCATGACACCGTTCAATTTTTGTGGTAGTGTTTCTTTTTACGCGTAACTGCGTTATTGTCGTAGAGCAGCTCTTAAACTGCTGCTTTGGAAAGCCCTTGACAAGAACCCTTGGTTCCCCATGTGATATGGCCCTTCTCTTCTGGGTTGGTGTAGAAATCTAGCCATAACGAATTGCCTGTCACCCATAAAGTACATCTTGAAGAATTGCTAACTGTTTCATACCGTACTAGGTGAAGAGTAATAATTTATCATCTATTCTTTGCATAGTTTGTTTCAAAGGTACTGTTTCTACAGATTTCAGCTTCACAATCTTGTGGTATTTTCAGAAAAAAACTTCGATTACTTCAGCTAAACCGTTTCTTTGATAGTTTCGATTTGTTTCTGATTGAGTAAAATTATTGATGTGTTTCTCAATAATATTAAATACGGCACTGGTATCCGGCGATCGCCTTTGCTGGAGAAAATGATGATATGGGTAGGGGGGAAATGGTCGCTGAGGAAACTCGCCAGATGGCGCATTGCGTTCGCCCAATGTCTTGTTTATCGGGCTAGTCAACTGTAGGTACGTAGGTTGGGCCTATAGTGGTGGTAGCATTCGTGTGAAATTTTTATGGTACCGCTAGAGATTCATTCCACAAATGAGTTAAAAATAGTATTATTTGAGATCAGGTTGTAGGTATTGGTCATTATCAACGTAATTGTTGAAAGAGAGTACAACAGCCCGAAAGTTTATTACCATCGTGTATTTTGTTTTTTAAGTTTGGCCCAAGCCTCATTTAATTGGGCTTGTGTTTTTGTGTGCGTGCTGGTGGGCAGGCACATGAGATACTTCATGTTTTAAACTTTTTTGTAGGTTTTGCTTGCCCTCCAGAATTCTCCATTTTAAATTTAGGTTTGTTATGGAGTTTTCGAAATAAACTATCTATCTATCTATCTATCTTGTGGAACCATAAAAATAGTACCGTTACGTCTGCTGAGAAAAATTTTACCCACTGTCTTCTGTTCTTGGCGAAGCTACTGTGTTTCTAACATATTCAATTGTGTTTTGTTTGTTTGTTTTTTTCTCTTCTGTGTTAATTTATTTTTAGTGTGTGTTACTTTAGCTCAATTTCGTTGACAAAATGGTGATTTTATATTTTTTTAAAGGCTGACTCGATGACCTAACGGTCGCTTCGTTACAGCCTCGTCACAATACCTTGAAATTAATTTTGAAATGTTGCATGTAAACTATTTGACATGTTGACGAAATAAAATACTACTACTACTTGGAGGACATGATGTCGGTACCGTACCGTACTCAGTATTTTTAGTGGAAGAAATTCTTGTCGCTTCTAGATTCTTCAGTTTTTACGCACCCCACTTCTCCTTTTAAATTTTCAAACTTAAGTGAATTCTGCCACATTCCTGCAGAATATACAGATATATATCATTGAATTTTTCAGTTTAGTTTTCAAATTTTGTCGTTCTTCAATTTTTAGTGACTTCTACCACCCCAACTTGCATTGCAAGAAACTTTCAGCCGATCGTTTCTGTTTTCAGCCTCAGAGTGCAGGAGTGGAGTGTTGTCAGCTTATCATCATTACAGGATTAGGAACATTACAACCACTTTTTTTCCTCCCTCCATTGTTGTATCAGATTGAATAACTTATTATTAGCTGAAGTGTTTTAAAAGTACAACAGACCAAAAGTTCAACACATTCACCTATTTTTTTTTTTATTTCTGTCTCAAATCTTGTTTGACAAATTTTATTTTTGCCCAATTTTTTGTGTAGGTACGAGTGAGCTGGCACATGATACTTCTTATGTTTTAAACTTTTCCTAAGGTTTTGCTTGCTCTTCCAAATTCTCCATTTTGAATGTATGTAGGCGCAGCAGGGTGGCTCATCGTGCTGAGTGTCAGGAATATGCTCGCCACTGCACCTCTAATTACTCTGCGTGGGTTTGTGCGAGAGGATTGCTCGACTCCTCGCCGCCTTAGGGTGATTCACATAACCGCTGGTCGGTTACGGCTTCCTCCACCATCAAGTCCATGCTCCCGAAAACAAATAACTAATCCCATACTCGACATGGAATGGTAACCGGTCGAGAGGCCGAGCTTCGCCATATGGTTAAGCCGTCTTATCGACTTTCCTCTTCCCCGGGATAAATATGTAAATCATTCTCTTTTATTATGGAGTTTTCAAAATAAACTGTCTGTCTATCTTCAGCCAGTATTGGTACATTCAAATTTAATGTGCCTAGTATGACAATTAATATGCACCTTTAATATCTATATTTACACCATTCCAAAACTAACAGTCGTGCCTGTTTTCCGTACTTTCTCACTTTTGCTTCATCATTGTAAGGATTGGTTAGACCTAGGATTGGGTTTATTTTGTCTTTTCGTTTTTTTTTTATGGTAATTACCAAGGCCCTTTAACATCCCTTCATCAAAAACTTGGCTTATATCTAAAAGTATATTACATATTTTATCATTGTTTTATAGATGATATTGACAGCACATAAACATAAGTAATGGCTTCCGACACAGACAAAGAAAGAGATGGTTGCATTGAATGTATGAGATATGGATTCATCATTCTCAATAGTGCCTTCCTCTTGGCTGGGATTTTATTAGCTCTTCTTGGTACATGGTTTTACGCAGTACCTGCGAATGAAAACTTAACTGCAATTGTCATGGATGAAAAAAATCAGCAGGAATTCAGAAATGCCTTAGTGCTTGTCATAGGCGTTGGTGTCGGTTCTTGTCTATGCGCATTTATAAGTTGTTGTGGTGCTTTTGCACAAAGCAGATGTATTCTAATCACAGTGTTTTCAATGGACTGTCTTCTCTTTGTTACTGAGCTTGTGATAGTTGGATTCGGTATTGTGTATTTGGGGGTAATAAATATTGGAATTGTTGATCGGATGACCGAAACACTTGCCTTGAGTTATGTGGGAGATTATGGTTCTAATCAAGAGTCATCTGCCTGGAGAGAGACGCAAATGTCATTTTCTTGCTGCGGAATAAACACACTGGAAGGTTTTAGGAACCACACAAACATTGAATATGGAAATCTAACTGGTTCTCTATGGTACAGGAACAATGAAAATAAAACGATTCAACCATGGCCTGACAGCTGCTGCGAAGTGGCAAAAAAAGATGGAACACATGGTAATCAAGTATGCTCCGTAGAAAGAAAAACGTATCTTAATGAAGTGGGCTGTGCCAGCGGTGTTGAAGGCTTTTTACAAAGTCACATTATACAGATGATTGGTATTACTTCTCTTCTAGTGCTGTTAGAATTCTTTGCCGGAATATTGGCCATCAGACTATACAAAGATTTGATTGCCAACCAAGCCCAACTCCTTAATAATGTGGTGCCAGTCGCTTGTAATGGAGGATATGACAAATTTGGTAACGTCATTGACTAACTGTGAGTCAACGAACTACTTAACCGTTTACTCTATGTTTAGAACACTCAAAAAAATTTTCATGCTTTAAAACAGGAGTGTGCAACAGGCAACCTCTGGCCTTGACTCGACCTGCCAAGCTATTTAGTGGGGCCCTTATCAACCAACACTCAAGATTTTTCCCCATCAAGCATAAAATCCTAATCCGACAGCTTATGTAAACGGCGCTCAGATGGTTAAAAAAAAATTTTCAACGCTAGTCAGTGCAATAAATCTTTCTTTCAGTTTTGCCAGGCGCCTTTATTACTGTAATTCGTTGCAAACTTGGAAATTTTGTGGCCTACCAACGAAAAATGTTGCACACCCCTGCTTTAAAAAGAACTGAATCAATGCCGACAACAGCTCCCAACGTTTGTTTATTTTTTCAATATTAGCAATATGCATCTTCGAAATAGTCAAATCATGTTACTAGAATTCTAAGATATTTGCAATGCTAGTTAATGTCCACAGTTTTGCATTGTCTCCAACAAGAAACAATCTAGATCACAACAGCTCCCAATGTTTGTTTATTTTTTCAATATTAGCAATATGCATCTTCGAAATAGTCAATCATGTTACTAGAATTCTAAAATATTTGCAATGCTCGTTAATGAACCCGGTAACCTGAAGCTTATTGTCCACAGTTTTGTTTTTAATTTCATTGTCTCCAACAAGAAACAAGCTGGACAATAACAGTAAATCTACACCGAATGCTAAGTAATGTTTGTGTATTTCCGAGCCGCCGAGTAAGACCATCGGATGATTCAGCATAGAAACTAAATCTTGTTTATATTATGGCAGTAAAAATTGACCTATGCATATATAACCTTGCCATGCAGTGATGCATAATTTGTATATATTCTTGCTTATATTCTCTGTGCAATCTCTATCTTATCCAATCAAACAATCTTGATCATTGTGAAAATATGCAATAAACTTTGATTGACCAATTTGTCTCATTTTCTGTGCATTTTTTTTCTCTGGTGATAGAAGAAAAACAACTCAATGCTAGTTTGTGTGTATTGTTTGTTATCAGTCTTGAATAGAAGTGTTAAAGATATCACAATAGAAGATACGTGGAATGAAAGTTAGAAAAACAAGAACAGCCTGGAAATTACCTAGCAAAAAAATATATTGCAGGTTGTGAAAAGGAATTCTGCCATACCATTTCTTACATTGGAGAAAATAATTTTATCAGACGCCAGATATACCTTTGAGGGTATTGTAATGCCTTCTTCCATCCAAATATAGCATGGATTCACCGTATGTTCTTGGCATAACTGTGGGAAGGTTTTCATTATCACATGTAAAAGAAAAGTTAAAAGTGTTGCAAGTAGTACTGACACCTGTATGTGGGTCCATAACTTCAGCATGTGCTCGGATGTGAAAATCCTTACCCTGAGAAAAGCATACTTGGGATGATATAAGCAAAAGTGATCCAATTTGCACCGGGCAACGAAATAAAATATCATCCACAGCTGTGACATGAGGTCTTGTTTTAGAAAATATACAAGCATTCGCCCATGCAAGTTCGAAACCTGTGCGCATAAGGAAACCACCAAAAATTTTATTGTGAATGTTGCGCTTTTCAGGAAAACAAATAATTGAATTTTTCAGTTTTGTATCTTCCATCCACACACAATCTTCTGGCAGCTGTCTTCCTCGAAAAGACATAGTCTTTGTGTCTAATGTTTGTAAAAATAAGTCATGTACAACTTGCCTTTCTTCTTCTTTTGGAGGATATTTCAAAAGTGAATACTTCGCCTCTTCCAAGCGTTCAATTTTATGTTTTTCTCCTTCCTGAAATAAAGCTTTGTCTTTGGGATCTTCCATTAACAGAGGGTAAACTATCGCAGAACGATTTAACGGATCTCGTGCTACCATAACGAATGTTGCATCAATGATAGGTTTTGCCAATTGAGTCAACCACATCTTGATTTCCATGGAGCTTTTCCCTGTCCATGTCACATGACCTTTGAGTAATATATCTGCCTGAGATTCCAAGCAATGATTGTGAATTTTTATTTCATCAACCATTGCTGTAACGATTGACAAAGGACTTTCCCCTGTCTTTGATGAGTAAGGATTATTATGTAGATAACTGATGTGTACTGCAAACGTATCCAAATTTTCCAACAACTGTCCAAGTCTTACATTATCATATAATCCTTTATATTTTTCCCGTATGACAGGATCTGACAAGGGTACAATAGCTTCATAATAGCTATCTTGCATCCGACGGGGCGTCAAATCACTCTGAGTCTGTGGCAGAGAAGCTGCAAGTTTTTCCCTATATTCTTCACTTTTAATCCATGCTGAGCTTGCGCCGAGCGTTTGCTGCAACTGTGTCCTAATCTCTTGAATTGTTGGTATTGCTGCACATTTTTTACTGGATGACGAGACTTTCCTATAGCTTGTCCTAAGTACTGACTTGGTAATTATAGGAATCAGTCGTCGGACTTCCATCTATTACGTTACTATGCTAGTGGCTAGAGCAATATCTAACTTGTGGCAAAATTTCAAAATTCGTAATCAGACACCCCTATAATATTCTATGAGTGTCCAAAGGCGAAAGAGGGTAACAAAGGGGCAGAATGGGGCCAATGCGTGTCCAATTAGGGTCAGCGAAAAAAGGTAACTACCATGTTCCCCCGAAAACATGAGCTACCCCAACATAGGACATTGCATGAATTATTAAAATGATTTCAATATAAGCCCTCACCTTTTAGATAAGACCTAGTCCAGGGGTGGGCAAATTACGGCCCGCGGGCCGGATCCGGCCCACTTTAGTGTTTTATCCGGCCCACTTGTTCGTGCTGAAATTAGGCTATAGTTTTCATGCATAAAAATTATCGTTGAAGAGATCGGAAAAACAACAAATCGTCCGCAATTGTAAATATTGTAATTCCACACGTACTATCAGTCCTGAATATAAACATAAAACCATCTGAATATCAGCATTTTGGTCTGCATTTTGCTACGCGCGTGTTCGTGGATATCTCAATACATTTTGTTTACTTTTGTCTAGTACAGGGGGGGGGGGGGGATTGAGTTGAAATCGCTGATAGTTACTTCAGCATGTCATGGGTATTTAAGACGTGAACATCAGTAATATATCGGTAAACTATATTACAGGGAATTACCCCTGTATTATGAGGACGTCGAGAAAAGGATTTCTCTGGAACGGTGCAAAACTCCTTATTGTGTGGTCATCTGAAACGAGAGACTAAATACAAACTAAAAATTTGATCCGCAAATCCAATTAGCGACTCAAAATGAGGAAGTGAATATTGTAAGAAAGGAACGGAGTCATAAGATATAAATATATATCACAAAATATAATGCGGAACGTCATAAATTTCGTTTTCAAAACCCTATTTTTGACCTGGTAAATCCCAAAAATTTCGGTATTTTTCATCGGATCGGAAACTATAGCAAATCCCAGCGGTTCCCAAATATGTGTTTATGCTGCGCCATATCGCCGCATTATTTCAAAGTTGCAATGCTTTTACTTTATCGTAATGAATTGTACTCGTGGGATTTTATGACCGACCTTGGAATTTTGCAAATGGTGATTTCTTAAAAAATACAATCTCAAGTGGCTCAAATTAATCAAATGACCAAGATCGCTCCTTTTCTTAATATATAATTAAATTAATTATATTATATATTAAATTGATATGGCAAGACATTTTTAATTCTCGTAATAGTCTTGAACTGAATATTTTGCGCAACAGAAAAGCCATCAACGGTGAAAAAGTCGGCAATTTCAACAAATGGGTAATCACGACGACAAAATAAAATCAATCAAATAACACTTGCCTTCTAAATCCCAAGTTACAGTAATTTTGTTCGTAAACAACAGGAATGCGCATCATTTATTCTCTTTGATTTGAATAATTTATTTATCAAATACGGTCATCATGATCGCAATTATTACATTGTGTTATCTTTATTATTAACGTTATCCTAGCCCGTTAGCCCAGCTGTTAAGCTTTTTTTTTCTATCAACTTTCTTTGCGCTGCTGCCGTAATTTGCCAGCCCCTGTAAAAACGGCCCATTGATCATTGTGTCTAGGACTCTAGGTATTTGCAAATAACCGTTTCTGACCCTACTGAATTTTGATCATCCGACCCAGTAACCAAGTCTGTTATCCGCATCCGGCCCACTCAGGAAAGTAATTGCCCACCCCTGAGTCCTAGTCGATAGCGCAAAATATTTTTTGATCTAGTCCTAGCAAGAAATCATCCCTACTCGTTTTAAAGGATTAATAATATCTGTTTTTAAGCATTTATTTCAAATCCGTCTTCATATATTGTATATTTGAAAATCTTGTAATTACTTACGTTGTAATTTTGTGACATCCCCCAAAATAATCCCTAGTGTTATTCTTGAAAATAAATTTAAAATAAGACACTTTCTTATTTTCGGGGAAACCCGGTGTGGTATCTGTCTAGAATTTATCGAATATTTCCGAAGTAAACATCTCTCTGATCTTATCTAGAATACGGGTATCTGTGACTGGAATTCTTTTTTGCCATGGAAGGATAGGATAGGATTTACATATTTATGCCGGGGGAGAGGAAAGTCAATAAGACGGCTTATCCATATGGCGAACCACGGCCTCTCGTCCGGTTACCATTCCAAGTCGGGTATGGGATTAGTTATACTGTATTGTTTTGTTTTCGGAAGCATGGAAGGATTAAAGGCTCTCCACAGTTTGTATAGTGTGCCCTTAAAATAAATGAATATAATAAATACAGTATATGTATTTTTCCATGTATAGTAATCGGCTTACTATGAGTTTTCTAGTTGTGCACCAATTACTAGCGCCTAATCAAAACCTAACGTCTGCTATAATTTGCGTATCAACCAAATACGTAAGATAAGATAAGTTTATTTCGATTCCATAATCAGCATAAAAGGAGATTTAATGATTGATAAAAACAAATAAAATAAAAACTGATTATGAAAGCAGAAGAGAAAACGAAACCTTGGATGAGGTTTAAAACGTACAGAATATAAGATGGAAGGTTTTTGTCAAAAAGAAGTGGTACGTGTTCATTCACCTAAAATTATTGAGTAAATTCACACACACTCACAACCACAGGGATTTAATAAAGTTAGAAAAAATAGAGAAGCTTTAGATAAATTATATTGTACACAAAAAATAAAAAGAATTGCAATAAAAAATAAGAATTGCAATAAAAAATAAGCTTGACCATTTTGATAATTTTATGAAAGTTTCCAAATTGAATACAGATTTTGTAAATGAGGGTGAACAGTATCTAATATAAGACATAAAAAATATTTTGTTAAGGGTATTATAGTTGGAGTCAAATGCCAAATTGCCCAACCAAAGTTGGGTGCATGAAGAGGTAGGCTAAACCGCTTCATTCCCCAATGAAGAGCCAAAATATTACCAAATTGTAGTCTAGTACAGTGGTTCCCAAACTTTTTGTACCATCGCCCCCTACATTAGTTTATACAACTTCATCGCCCCCCGGCACTGCAAAAAAATTGAAAGTCTGAAACGAATATATTACAGACCAAATAAGGAGACAAATCATAGTTTATAGTGGTTTTGATTGAGATGAATGAGCTTGGTGTTCTGCATCGAGTTTTTTATTATATCTAAAATTATCCCGTTTACTAATGGAAAGGCGATTCAGTCGTTTTGATAGCAATAGTGTCACGGCTGAAAACCCCTTTTGCACCATATCAGAGGTCGGAAATGAAAGAATCCAGGGTTCTACCTTCTCAAAAACCGCCGTGTACTCTTGCCTTATAGCATTTAACTCCCTAAATTCACCCCGTTTCACATTAAAATAATGAAAACAAAATTAATTTTTCAGAATCTATAATAATGATTTAGGTACATCTCATTCATCCCTACAGCCTTCACCGAAATACATGATATATAACGGTCTTCGGTAAAATCCATTCCCCATTCCTAATCCTACCTACCACGTCCTCCAGTCCGATCACCAGTCCATAGAATTAATCAGCCATTTGTTTTGGATTCGTGGACTTGGATGGCTCAGGGGTCGGCAAATTTTAGGTCGCTCGCGGGACAAAATTTAGGGTTGCTATTCTTTTGCGGATCGCATATATTTTTTGAATGTTAAAAACGGAGCATCGTGCAAAAACTGCGACAATTCGTGAACTCCACTCAGTCGTCTTATTAAAAAATTATTACAATGACATTTAATGTGACGCCAAGATTGGAAGATTTTCTGAATGGGCATCACTAATCTTGGTTCTTTGCTTGTTCTTTGTAATGTTCATTTTCAAAAATAAATGTTCGCACAAATATGTACTTCCAAACATCGAAGTGAATATTTTTGCATGGTTTGTGAAATTTTGATAAAGACTTTCTTTAATTAAGAAGATACATTCTTAAAAAAAATTAAGCAGTGATGAATCTCTCGAATAGAATATGAATTCCTTATTGCATTGCAATAACATCAACTTTTCTGGGTGTTTCCAATTGTCTAATTAATTATAATTAAATTGTAGGCTCGTTGAGCGAGTAGCTGTTCAATATGTTCAATATACGTGTCTCACGATAAATTCTGTTACGTAAAAAAAATGTAATTTACTCCTCAAGCGTAGATAATAAATAGGATTAATTCATCGTTAAAACCGCCGCTTGGATGTTTACCAGCAAGATGCAAAAATAAACGTAACAATGCTCCCTTTCGCATCCGCTCAGACACCTTCCTCACTCAGACAGACTTTCAGGCGTGGTCGTGAACAGTACCTAATTTTCGCGATTTTGAATTATATTCGTTAGTTTTTAGTTGTTTTTCGCAAATTTAAATAAAATAAGTCATTGTGACACCTTGTCCTCCTAGGAGTTTCAGTTTAATTACAGTGATCAAAAATTAGTGTAGTAATAGCTGTGATAGACTAGGCTAAAATTCTTCATCGGTACTTTTAAAAAGGAGATTGTTGAGTGGTATGAATCAGAATGTTAGCTTGAAACAAATACTTCATTTTTGAGGCAACAACTCGCAAAACCACTCTTAAAATAAACACCGAACATTTTAGAATGGTTAAGTATAGGAAAAATTGCCGGGGTCAAAGGTCGGGAAAAGAAACATTCAGTGAAGCGTCCTGGGCCAGATTACTACAGATTTTCCGACCACTGGGATACGCAAACCACCGTACCTTACTGCGAAGACGAGTCCAGCAATCGTTCCGCGTGTGACATCGCCCAGCGGATTTGAATCTACGAAAGCACACAGAGTACAGTAATCAAGTGCATGATGAGCCGACCAAAAACAGGTTTCGCGAAATCGCCCCCCTATCGCCCCCTTCGATCTTTTCGCCCCCCTTTGTATCGTTTTCGCCCACCGGGGGACGATATCGCCCACTTTGGGAATCACTGGTCTAGTAGATAACATCAATTATTAAATGCTACTGATTACAGTTTAAGTAAAATATAATGAAATTAGGGTATTGATACTGAGGTAGGTATTGAAATATATTGGTTATGAGGGATGTGAGCCAGGATAGGTGATAAATATACTAACGTAGTGAGTTTATAGTGACACATCATTTATGAATTTTAATCACAAATGCAGATTTAAAGTTGTGCGTTCTCGTGTTTGGGATATCTGATCGAAATAATGTTCTCTGTAAATACTCTTTGGTAGC